TGGAGCAATATTTTGTGGGTATAAAAAAGCAAAAATAATGAAAAATGAAAGACTGAAATACTGCCCACTATGTAAAGACAAGATAGCTACAGTAGAACACATTCTACTATCTTGTATTTATCATAAAAAATCACAAATGGAAAAACATGACAATATAGGTATTATAATATTGATTAATAAGAAAATATACATGAAATAATCAATATAAAAAACCTCCATATGAAACAATGTTCCAATATAAAGACATCACTATGATATTTAACAAACAAATAATGCATAAAAGTGATGGACAATATCACAAAATACCAGATATATGTATTAGATAAAAAGAATAAAACTTGTTTATTATTTGATATGACTATTGTGGCTGATCACAATATTAATTAAGCCTATTTGAAGAAAAGAAATAAGTATAAGGAATTAAAGAATAGGCTAATGAAAATAGAAAAATTAAAAGATGTCAAAATAAATCCAGTAGTAATATCAATAAATGGATTAATGAATAAAGAAAGTAATAAATTAATTAAAGAAATAAAAAATGAGATTGACATCAAAAAAGAAGTAAAAAACATTGTAATAAAAAACATGATGGATGTCATGGAATACTGCGGAGATCACAACCAAACATACTCCACATAGCTACAAGAAGAAGAAGACGAAGAGACAGGATTAGTCTCCCCTGAGCCAGGAAGAATAGAAGCTAGTTCTATTAATATTTAATTAATTGCTTTTTTATTTTTGTCATTCATATTGTTATTGTTATGCCATTTAATGGTATTGACATTCATTCTTTTATATGATGTTGAGCCTCTATGTTGTAGTTACTTTTCTTTTCACTACACAATGACACACTCAATAACCATTACAATAATAATTGTTGTATGTTCTGAATTGGAACAGAATCTAATTATTATGAAAATTAATTAAAAACAAAGAAAAAGAATATTGAGTAATCAACAAATAAATTAAAGCATGTACTACTCCATAAAATTTGTGGTTAACAAATACAAATTAATTTAATAAAGAGAATGATTTTTGAATAAGATGATGTAGTTCTATTAAAATAGGTTTTAGTTGTTGTTTAGTTGTTGTAGAACCAATTTGGTATTGGAAATAACATTCTTGATAAGCACTATTTAGTTGTTGTAAACCAGTTTTTGTGAAAGTCATATTATTACTTTCTTCTTCGTTGGTTAATTCTTTATCATCTTCTGAAAAAGACTCTTCAATAATGGTTGTTCCAAAACCTGATAAATCCATTTAACTTAATGATAGATACTACTTCCTTACAATGATTTAGTTCTCACTAACTTTTCTTAATTCCACTGTTCAAACTTTGAAATTTCTTACTTGTAAATTTCTTAAATGTCCTGATTTTTTTATCATAAAACAAATATCTTTTATTAAGATTTTTCATTCAAAGTTGGTTGATAATATTTATTTTTTTCTTTTTGTTTTTTCTAAATACAAATTTTTTTTTTATTATTAATTTATTAGAAATATAGTATTTTTCTCTGTTTTCAAGTTATCCAAACATAAAAAAAATGCTTTTGAAGAAAGAGTTGAAGTTTGCATTTTTTTTCAGTTTAATTGAATATTATTTTATGAATAATAAATAAATTTTTTTTCATGAAAAGTAACAAATAATAAAAATATAATATTCTTTATGATAAATAGTATTTATTTTATTTCTCTAAATTGAGATGAAAGTTCTACAAAAGAAATATGAATATTAAACCAAAGTAGAACAATCGAATTAATTCAATAACACTAAAAATACCACTAATCATTTTTTTAAATTATTTTCCAATATTTTCTTCCAAGAATAACAAATTTGAATCTAATAATATTATTATTCATTACGTAATACTTATTTTATTAGTATTGTTTGTAACGATTAAACTTGTTATTCATAATATGACTCCAAAACAAAAAAAAAGAAAAGTGTTGTGATATAACTTTTCTAATCTTCTTTAACCTTATAGAATTGAGAAGATATTTTCATGAAAAGTGTCATAATTTGAGCATTAAGGAATTTTATTTCTTCATTTTGTTTTTTAATATCTTCAAGACAACGAAGAAAAGTTGGTTTAACTAATGGAACACAAATAATATATAATAAAACAATCCAGAATCGTGGTAAAGAACAAAGATTGAATGCCAACATATACACAGATTCTCCCATAGAAATAAACTTAAAGCCACCAACAAATCCATAAAAAACATACCACCCAAAGAATAATAATATTGATAAAATCATTGATATATAAAATGGCCATACAAAAGTATGAGAATGTGTTGCAAGATGAAAACATGAGACTATAACAATAGCACCATAAATAGTAAATCCAAGTCCATCCATCCCAATCTCTCCAAACCCAATATCTCCACTTAATAAATATTTTCCACAAAAGAATATTATCATTGATTCTATTACTCCGTCAATAAACCATAATAATACTGTTTTTAAAGTATATATAGAATTTACAGTTAAATATAATTCCGGTCTACTTATTAATTCATATGAAGTATAGTCTTTATCAAATGTAGCAACAACCATTGGTAATAATATTGAAAATAAAATATTAAACATTACCAAACTCCATCTTTCGTATATAGAAGTTCCTGAAAACCCAGAAAAGAATGCAAAATAAAATTGTGTAATAAATAATAATATACTCCTATATAATGTGTGTGATGTAAATATCCCAATTCTATTAAATGAATACCTTCCATGAACTAATAATAACTTAACAATATCTCTAAATTTTTCAATGGAAAAATCAGCTGCTCTTGCAGCTGACATTCCTTCTTTACCTGTAATTCCTATTCCAACATTTGCTGTTCTAATCATAGAAACATCATTACAACCATCTCCAATACTTAATGTAGAAATCATTGTTTCTTGTTGATGAAGATAATTATTAATAACATTAACAACATTAGATTTATCATTAGGCGTACACCTATATACACAAACCCCAGAAGATGAAATTATTTTTTTAATAATTTCTTCTTTATTATTCTTAAGCATTAAACTCATTTCCTTTCCACTTATTATAAATTCATTTTCTTCTTCTTTCTTACTTAGTATATGTGCATTTCTTGCAATTGTAATAGCTGTTTCTTTCATATCACCAGTAAGCATACTAATAACAATTCCTGCTTTCTTTAATATTTCAATACTTTCTATAACTCCTTCTTGTAGTTCATCTTCAACAGCAGTACATCCTAATATTATTAATTCCTTTTCTAAACTTTCCATTTTTCCAGTTTCATTAATTTTATTAATATTTTGTATTTCTTCTTTCTTTAATTCTCTACCAGCAATAACTAATATTCTCAAACCTTCTTCTGCATATTCTTTACATTTCTTTTCAATTTTTTCATTTTTGTCTTGGCAATTTCTTTGAACAATTCCATTAGCTCCTTTCATAAATATCCATCCTTTATCGTTCTGTATTAATACAACTGACATTCTTTTTCTTTCAGAACTAAATGGAATTATATAATATTTAAATATTCCTTCACTTGTTATTATTTCTTCTGAAGTTCTTTCTTTAAATTCTATTCCAAATTCTTTTGCGACATTAACTAATATTTCTTCATCAGCTGATGAAGCACTATATCCTTTATCAGTTTTATCAGCTGTATGACATGTTGATAAACATCTTAAGAACCATTGTTCTTTTTGATTAGCATTATCAAAAGAAAATGAAGTAGTAAATTCATTACCATCAATAAAGCATTTCTTAAATCTCATTTCATTTTTTGTTAATGTTCCTGTTTTATCAGCAAATATAAATTTAACTGTTCCAAGTTCTTCAACTAAATTTGTATTTCTACATCTTGCATTTACTGAATGTTTAATATCTTCATCATTTTCAATAAAGAATGCTTGAATTAATTTAATAATTTCAAGACACACATATAATGAAATTGGTACAAGATTATTATAAAGAATTATAAATGTAAAAAATATCCAAAAGTATGACAATTTATCATTCGTTCCATCATCATTAAGATACCATAATTCAAATTCCCAATTCCATTTAAAAAACCCAATTGTACTAATACTTGATAATATAATTGCTAAAGTAAACATTACTAAAACAAGTTTATTTGTTTGTAATTCCATTCTTGATCTTTTTAAAGTAGCATCTTTTCCATTTAATATTTGTTTTGTTTCACTTCCTACATACAAACAAATCATTTCAATTTCAGCTACTCTTTTTAATTTACTTCCTCTTAATAAACATTGTTTTTCATTTAACCGTTCTACATCATTAAACTTATTAACAACCATTCCTTCAAACTTAGTTAATTCTAAAGAAGGATCATTATAATAAATATCTATTTTTTCATCTAACTCTTTTGATTCTTTAAATATACTACAACAATATTTACTCTTTAAATTAGTTTCTCCATCTAATTGACTTGTTTCTACAAATAATTCACCATTTTTATTACTACTTGATATTACAATACCATCACATGGAATAGTTTCTTCTTTTTTAATAATTAAATGATCTCCAACAGCAACGTCTTTCCATTTTATTTCAATGACCTCATTATTTGTAATTTTTCTCAGTGTTGTTCTGTTATTTTCTCTTTGATCATCTCTATGTCTTCTAAGGTCTTCATAAATCTCTTTTATCCCAGAAAATATTAACACAACACAAAGAGGAAATAAAGTAGTATATCTCCCTGTTGGTGATAGTCCTGGAATTAATTGTAAACAAGAAATAAACAAGAAATAAACATTTGCTAATTTTCTAAATTGTTCATATAAAAAATATGGAATAAAACTATAAATTGTATATTTTGATGTATGAATACCATTAGATAATGTCTCATTTCTATTTCCATTATGAAGAATTCTTTGAAATTGATGTGATGGTTCAAATGACATTTAAAATTTGCTTCTTATTTTTAAGTTTAGTTTATTATTAAAAAAAAACCCTAAAACAACACTTTATTTGTGTGAAAAATTTTTAATTTCAATTGAATATTCTCATTTCTTTTTCAGCTGATTGAATGAATTGGTTAATCATAGAATTATTCTTACGAATAATATGAGTTGAACCAATAATTATTGGCCTTCCAAGTTTTTGTGATAAACTTCTTAAACTAGCAATTTCACCAAATGTAATTCCTCCAACAACAAATACAACAATTTTCTTTGAACCTCCTTCAATTGTTTCTTTAATATTAGTGATTTTCATTTGTTCTTCTTCTGTTAAAATATCATTTAAATTTTTAGAAGTTAATTTACTAACTCCTTTTAATGCAGCTCCAAGAACACCTTTTTGATTAGAAGACTCTTCAGTTTCTTGAGGACAAATAATATTTTCTAATGACTTTACTATTAATGGAGTATAACCTCCATAAAAACTTGACCCATTTTCTTTTTCATATAATTTTAATGCTGAATTTAAAGCAGTAAAGGTTCTTGATTTCTCTCCTGTTTTCTTTAATATTCCAGCCATTTCCATTTTTGACCAAATGTTTAATTCTTCAATTCCACAATATTGAATAAAGAACTTCTTTATTTCATCATATAAATCAGGTTTAATACCATCATACCCAGCACATAATATTGCTAATTGTTTTAATGCTTCTTCATGTTTTCCAAGTAATAATAATTCTTCTATTGGACCAGCAAGGTCTTGTTTAAATAATCCAGCAATTTGTTTAGCTGAAGAAAATACATAATCAAAAAATTGGAATTGTTTTTCTTGTAATTCTAAATTATCATAAGTATTAACATATGAAATAATTGATTGATGAATTTGTGGATGTATTGTAGCAAATGCTAAACACATATTAAAATGTGTTGTCATTTCTAATTTCTTAGAAATAGATTTTTCTTGTTGAGTAAGTTCTTGTAACTCTTTTGTTGCTTTAATTTTATCATTTAATACTGTTCGAATATCATTGAAATTAGCTTTACTAATTTCATTATACCAATTACCATGTAATGTAATAAATGCATTTTTCTTTTCACTAAGTACTTTATAAGCAACATCTGAGTCTTTTGAACTTCCAAAAACTTTATCATATATACTTAAATTTACATTAACAGTAGTACAATCATCATTTATTCCATATACTTCATCAATTAATGATTCATAATTATTAGCAATTAATTCAGGAGTTAATAAATCAAATGTTCTATCAACAATATAAACAAAATCTACTTCTTTATTAAATTCATTATTTGGTCGTTTAATATTCATCATCTCAGCAAGTTGATGTGAGTATTGTCCACGACTAAATACCTTTGGAAAATAACCAAATCGTTTTTGGAATGTATTTAATGATGAATAAATTTCATTCAATATTCCAACATCTCGTTCACCAAATAATCGTACAAATGCATTATCATCTTGTAAACTGAAGACATCATCTTGAATAACTGCAACAGGAATATCTATTTTACCTAATCTAAATGATGTCTTAAAAGGATCCAATAATTTACCATCAAATGGTGTAAATTTAGGCATTCTGAAAAAGAAAAAATTTTCTGGTGTCATTACATATGAATCATTTGCTATTTCATTAAATTTCTCCAAGGATTTATTCATAAAGTTTAATGCATGAGTTGCTGCTTCTATTGTTGATTCAACAATAACAAAATATGCTAATGTCTTTCTAAAAAATGCTCGTGTGAAACTTTCAACATTATAATCTTCATAGCATATCATATCAGTAATATTGTAATTATCATCTTGAAGGTATTGACCACCAATAAGTTCCATCATCATAAAAGAGTGTCTATCACAAACTATAATTTTTTTCTTTGGGTGATTTAAGGGAAGTGTTTTAAGTAATGTTTCTGTTGTAAAATCTTGATAATTTTTAAGTAAGTCATTTGTTTGTGGTCGTGTAATAAGTTGTAGTGTTGGAAGAAAGATGGTTTGAAAGTGAGTTCCTAATTTACTTTGAATACCTGTTTGTTGGGTTTTGACCTTTTGTTGTGCCATTAAGGATAATCTTCTTTTTCTAGATCTATTAACTAGTTTAATTATAATTTTAAGTATTATTTTTTTAAGAAGAGAAATTATTTTCAAGTTCAAAAGAAAAAGAAAAAAGAATAACACAAATTAAGTGAATTATTGTGTTAGTTAATGTGCAACTTCATATAGTAAAAAGCACAACATGCCAAAAACAATATAATAATTCCCAAAATGATAAATCCATCTAAAAGGTAAGTCATATTTAAAAAAAGAAAGAAAAAAAAAATACAAACATGGTTTATTTGTTATTGGTGTTACAACAAAATTATAATCTAAAGAAACTGTTGCTACTGTTTGTTTAAAATCAATAGTTGTAGCAGGAATAACAAATGAATGATGTTTTTTGATAGATAATACCTTATAATTTAATAAAGAAATTACAACTACTGTTCCATCTGAACATCCTACACTAGCTAATGTTCTTGCTCGTTCAGTAGCAATTGGAGAAGAAATTTGAGATTTACATAAGTATAAAGTTTTTTTTAATGTAAATGTGTATGAGTCAAGAACAAGTAAATATGATGGATTGGATTTTTTCATTAGTCCAAGAATTGCTTCATCTCCATTATAACTAATTATACAACCCCAGAAAAGTGCATTATCCCATTTTTTATTTAAATCTTCAGGATAAATACTTTTTAACACCTCACCTGAATCAGTATCATAAACAGTTAATTTTCTATTATGAGACGTAACAAATAATCTATTCTTATGAGCTGAAATACACATACCATTAACATCTTTCCCTGTTTCTTTTTGTAATAATTTAACTAATTCTAATTTTTTATTCTCTAGATGATATTTTTGAATAACACCATTACTCCATCCAACAAACAATGATTGTGTTTTTTTTGTATATTTCATAACTTTAACTTCAATCATCTCATCTTCAGCATTTTCTACTTCTAATCCTTGTAACTTATTTTGAATTTCTAATTCTTCATTAGCAATATAAATATATTCATTAGCAGAATAAATAATAAGTCTTTTATCTGTTTCTTTTGGGTCTTTAATAGAAATGATACATGAAATTGATGAATCTCCTGTATCATAAAACTTTGGTTTTCCTCCAAGTTGTGGAATCTTCATTATACCATTTTTAATACCACTTTTACAACTTCCACCTCCACCTGCAGCAAAGTAATTTGTATTATCTCGAGTTAATGCAAATAATGGAATTTGACAATTAATACGTTCAGTCATGACAAATGTACTTTTAAGTTCTTTTTCATTAAGTAATAAAAGAGTGGTATATAAAACAAAAAAAAAGAATAAAAAAAGTTAAAACAAAGAAAAGTGAAAAACAATAATCAAACAAATATGCAAGGAGGTTATTTCCACAATCCATCAAATTATCCACCACCAAAAGCACCTCAAGAACCATATTCTAATCATCAATATATGTATAGGCATCAACAAATGCCACAAAATAATAATTATAATAATTATCCAACAGGGGCAAGATATGCAGCTCCAGTTGTAAGAGAACAACCACCTCCACCACTTTCATCACGAGATTTTAGAAATCAAATAACCGATAAAAGTGGATATGTAGAATGTTTGTTAACAAAAACTTAAGAAGAAAATGAAAGTATTTATCATTTAGTAAAATCAAATGTAATTATTTTTACAAACATTCCACCAGACCAACAACAACAAAAAGACTTTTTATCAAATTATATTCCAAAATATATCTGTGAGTCATATTTACCAGCATACAAAATTGAAGTTGTTTATATTGCTGATAGAAAGACTGCTGAAGGAATTATGGTACATTTTAAAAAAGGGTTTGAAGGAAAGGATAATAGAGAAGCATATTGGGGAATGGAATATTGGATGAAACAATCAATCTTTGATAATGAAAATGGTATTTGTAAAATACCAGTAAAACATATTCCTCCAACAGTACATGTAAAGTCAGATGGTTCTTATGAATATATTTATTCAAGAGAACAAAGAAGATTAGATGACAGGAGAGATAGAAGAGATGACTATCATTATTAATTCATTTGGTTCATTTTTAATAAAAAGAAAAAAAAAAGAAAAACACCTTAAAAAATACTTTTATTTTTTGAAAGTAATTTACTTTAAATAAACCTCTTTTAAAGTGAGTCGAGAAGTGAAGCAGCTAAATCATCAGCAGCATTTGCTTCACTTGTTTCAATGAGAGTTGGACTTGGCACTTTTTCTGGTTCATTAGTAAGAGTAACAGAAGTAGTTGGAATAGGTTGTAATGGAGTTGTATTTTCATCTCCAAGTAAAGAACCAACAATATCATTTGACATATCAATCATTGTTTGTTGACTTTCTTCTAATTCTTTTTCACTATTCATTAATGTGTCAATAACTTCATTGATTTTACATCTCTTTTCAGGACTTTGATCCCACATTTTAGGAATGATTGAAGCAGTAGTTGGTGGAATATTATTTGATATTTCAACTCTCTTTCCTTTATTAACAAATTCAAGAACTTCCCAAGAACTTCCTAACATAGAATATGGACATTTTCTATCAAAAGCTTCTACAATAACAATTGCTAATGAATAAATATCGTAAGCTGAAGTTATTTCTTTATTATTAATTCCTTCAGGAGCAAAATAAATTTCTTGTCCAATTTGTTGATTTAATTGAGCTGCTTGTTTACTTCCAATTAATTCATTTGGTAAATCATAGTCAGTTAATTTAGCACATATTTTCATTGAATAATCAGTAGAAAAAATGATAATATTTTCTGGTTTAATATCTCTATGAATAATATCTCTTTGATGAAGATATTGAATACCTTGTGCAGCATTAAGTAAACATCTCCAAATTAATTGTTTAGGAGATTCTTTCATTGAATAAATATTTTTTAAATTACCTATGATAGAATATTCATTAATAAGACAATTATTTTGTGGAGCGATACAAGCAAAAGATATTGGTAATAAATATTCATTTTCTAGTTTAATTAATGAATTAATTTTATTTCTAAAAACATTCATTAATTCTTCATTAAATTCAGTAGTAAACTTTTTCATTGCATATGATTTATCTTTATAGTTAATTAATAAAGTCTCTGAATTAGGACCATTATCAATTTTTTTACTTATAAGAACATCTTTGTAATCAATAAATACACTCTCTTCTGTTGATACATTAATTGTAACATAAACAAATTTAGGTTCTTCATTTCCTTCTTCTGTAATAGCAAATGCAATAATATCATCATCATTACATGAACAGGTACAAAGGAAAGTAATAGTGAACCTAACAGTTCCTTGTTCTCCAGCATTAATAGACATATTATTAACATTAGTTTGAATATTAAATTTGTAACTTGTTGGTAATGAAATATCAAATTGTTTATTAACAGTAGAGTTATTTGTGATTGTAAGACTTTGTTCTAATGTACGATTAATTGGAGCTTTATTACCATCTTCATAACCAAATGTTAATACTTCAGTAGAGAATGTAAATGGAAGTTCTTCTAAAGGAGTAAAAGGATAAGATTGACCATCAATAGTGAAGCTTTTAGCATGTTTTCTACTCCATTTTTTATATAAAACACTAATCAAAGCAATAATTAAAATAAGAATAAAAATACAAATAACAGCAATAATAATTGATGAAACACCACCAATTTGTTTTAAACATGTTTTCATATAAGAATTATAATAATATCCTGGAGCACAATAACATAATGTTCCTGTACAATATTGAGCAGTAATTTTTGATACATCAACTTTTACTGTAGTAGCACTTCCATTAAGAAGAATATTTGTTTTACCACCATAATAAAGTGTTTTTGAATCCATAGCAACAGAATATCCCATATAATCATATGAACTATTTGAAACTAAACTATATATTAATTTAAATCTGTCTTTTGTACTAACTAAATAATTATCAAAATATACTGAAACTGCACCTCCTCTTTGAATACTTCCAACAGAATAACCAAATCCACCAATAACCAAGAAACTATTATAAGTTGACATCATAGGAACATATTGAGTATTAATTGGATTAACAAATTGTTTTGGATTAATAAATACATTATCAATGAATGTTGGATAAGCATAGTTGTTAGGTGAATTTACTTGAATTTTATTTTTATCAGAAATGACACTATAAACAACATCATATTCATTAATAATAGACATATCATAATTAAAAGTAATTGAACTACTGTCTTTAATTTCAAAATTAGTATAAAATGATAATTTACCTCCTTGATTTAAAGTATATAATTCTACATCTCCTCCTCCTCTAACCATTAAATAAGAATATCCATATGATGAAAAATTACCACATGGATGTTTAGTAGAATCTACTACATTAAAGCTTTCATTAAATACTGTTAATCCATTATTTTGACAAAGAACAATAAATACTTCTGGTTTATATGAAACAAATTCTTTTGTAATAACAGTCATTGGTGAATATGAATCAATATTACTTAATGGATAACTATGTGAAATTACTCCAGAAATAGTAGAATTAAGATCAAAAACATCAACATTTCCATTATTTAAAACATACATATTATTCTTTGCAAATCCAATTTGCAAACGTTTTAATTCACTGGTTTGATATTGGTATTTTTTTGTTTCTTTTTCTCCATCAACTACAATTGTAATTGAATTTCCTGATGACTTACTTCTATAAGCATAAACATTAGAGATATATTGTGGAATATTATTGTGCTGAACATCAATAATAACATATTCTTTATCATTTAATGTAAAGTCAACCTTCTCTAATCCAGCTGCTAAACCATAACAAATGAAAAGAAGATACAACATCATTTTCTTTTTCTAAGTTCTTATTTTTTTATTAGTTCTAGTTGACCTATTTTTAAAATTTTTCAGTTAGAATTACTAGTTTTTTCGTTTGTTGTTACTTATTTCTATTTTTATTTTTATGTTTAATCAAATCTTTTTGTTTGGGTTCTACTTCTTAATCATCTTTTTAACTTATTCATTAAAGGTTATATGAACGAAAGACTAAACTTACCTAAAGTTCTTATTATTAATGGAAGTCCTCGATTAAATGGAACAACTTTTTTAATGCTTAATTTGATAAAACAAGAATTAGAAAAAGAAGATATTATAACAACATTTTTCCAATTAGGAGGCAAAGAAATAAAACCATGTAAAGCATATCAAACATGTAAAAAGAGTAAAACATGTTTACAAGGAAATCCTTTAGTTAATGAACTTATTAAAAAAATGAAAGAATCTGATGAAATAGTAATTGGAAGTCCAACCTATTTTTATGATGTTCCAATAGAAGTAAAAGGAGTGATGAATCTTTGTGGATTAATTCTTTCAACCCAATTAGAAAGAAAGGTAGGAGTTGCAGTTGTTGTACCATGTAAAGGAGGTTCAGTTTATGTATATGATACAATCAATCATTGGTTTTGTTCAAACAATATGTTTATTGTTGGATCATCACATTTTATTGATAGATGTATTAATGAAACAACAAAAGAAAGAGAAACAGAAAATAAAAAGATGATAATACGATTGTCAAAGAATCTTTCAAATTTATTACATCAACTCAAAAAATAAGAATAGAATGTAATAAAAAAAATTTAATATTTATTCAAAAAACTTCTTGAAACATTGTTCTTCAGAAGTAATTTCTTTCCAATCTTTAAAAGGATTTAAGTCCAATGAAACAGTATGTTGTTTAACTAATTTTTGTAAGTCACAAGGAATGGCTTGACTAAATGATTCTGCTAATAAAATTAATTTTTTAGCTTGTAAAGAAGGTAAGTCTTTGAGTATTGCTGATGGATTAGAAACTTGAAGAAGAATTTTTCTACAAGAAACTAATTGTGCTAAAGTTATATAAACAACATTAAAACAACCTTTTGCAAAATAATAATCCCAAAGAATTAAAGCTTCATTTAAAGGAGAAGTATTTGAACTAAGCCCATTAAAACAAGGCATAAGAACAATTGGATTACTTCTAGAAGAATAGAAATGTGAATAAAGAATTGGATCAATATATTTCATACAATCAAATACTAACTTACAACCCCACCAAACTCCATAATATTTACCATTTTTACCATAATACGTTGGTAATAATTGTAAAATCATCTTTTTTGTACAATAATATGAATCTAATTCTGGCATAACTGCAAGAAACATTCCTGCAATTAAATTCATCCCTTGAAGATAAGTAACATCCTCACTCCCTATCGCTGCACATACATGATTTAATAGTCGAACTATTTTATCACTACATTTACGTTGTTCATAAATATCATCATGTCTAAAAGTTCTACTATAATCCTTAAAAATATTTTCCCATTTCGCATCATCAGTTTTTCCAGAATCACAATATTCAAATGAATCAATCTTATAAATACCTAATAAAATTTTCCATACTTTTCCTCTTGTAGAAATCTTTTCACATTGGTCATCTATTGGCATGTCTTGTGTCATTACTGCCCTTCTCATTTTTTGAATTTGGATTATATAATTTTCTCGTGTTGGAATAGTTATTTTTTCTTCTATTAGTTGTTTGATTAGGTTCTGTTGTTGGTCCATCTCAGATGAATCAATTATCTTTTTTCTTTAATTTTTTTTTAGTTTTTTTTACTAATAAATATAGAATTTGTCCTAAGTGTAAGTCACATAATTTAATTAAAAAATGCTATTCAATTAATTGAAGAAAATAAGTAAGTTCATAAGAGCGTTGATGATTGGGACCAATAAGAATAAGAGAGTTGTTCATCTTTACTTTAATAAATGAAATATTTTCTCTTTTGGTAATAATAAATTCAAGATAAGTTGTTGGTGTTGGAAATTCTAATTGTTCTTTTTCAAGGAGTAATTGAAGAAACAAAATTATCTCTTCGTTTGCAATGACAAAGTGATTGTTCTTTTTATTTGACAATGAACAATATATATCCTTACATAAAAATGTAATTTCTTTAAAATATTGAATAAAAGGACTAAGGTATTTAATAATATCTTCTCTAGGAAGAATTGACTGGATTAAAAATAAATAAAATTGTTGTAATTCTGCTTTCTCTTTAAATCTTTTTTGTGAGAAGATTAATTGTTTTAAAGAAGAGAATGTAACATTTGAAGTAAAACGTTCAATAATTTCTTTTATTCCTTTGTTTTGGTTAATTATGGTGTTAAGAGGTTCCTCTTTAATTTCTTGAAACGAAATGAGTGTTTCGTTTTGAGTTGAGAGATATTTCTTAATATTTTTAAGTTCTTGGATACATTGTTCATTATTTTGTATTCCTATCTCAAATGAAGACGTTTGAAGAAGTTGTTTTATTTCTTCATTCCATTTGGATGAGACAATTATTGTTCCTTCAATTCTTTCTTCTTTCCTAAGACATTGACCAAGTGAAATGATGAAGAAAAAGTAAATCAAATTCATTTCATTTTTTTAGTTCATTATTATATTCTCTTTTCCTTCTATTCAGCTTAACCAAAAAAATGGAATATAAAACATTTTAATGATTCATAAAAACGAAATCAGCTTCTAAACGATGACCTAAGAGTGACTTACCATCAATTTCATTTATACACTTTTCTGCTTGCTCTTTTGATTTAAATAAGACAATAGCATATTTTTGTGTTGGACAACTTTTTCTTTCATACAAAAGTAATGAAGTAATTTTACCAAATTCAATCAAAAAATCTTTTAAATCATCTTTTTCAATCATTGGACTTATCCCCCTAATAAAAACACTCCACTCCTCTTTTGATTTATTTTCGTTCATAAATAAATACACTTCTAAGTTCAGGTTTATTTCTTTTAATTAAAAACTATGTTTATATAATACAATAGTTATAAATTAATATTAAAAATTAATAAATTAAATGAACCAACTTCCAAAATAAATCCAGAAAGACTTATTATTCCTAATGCATGAATGCTTGTTTTATTTACTTTTCTTTAATAGAAAAAAAAAACAGGGATTCAACGTATTAAACAATAAATGGGTAATAAACCAAACAAAATAGTCATTCTTTCATTTTTTTAATCGTTTTGAACAAACATCTCATTAACATGAGAATATTGTAAGTCAATAAAGGTGTGGAAAGTTTGTTATTATGTTAAAGAAGAAGAATGAGAAATGAATTAAATATAAGGGGGTATTGATTATTTTGCTTTATTTTAATTTGGAGTGAGAAAAGATTCCATATTAAGTTGATGTGAATCAATTATTTCATGAGAAAGATAGTATTGATAATTTGCAATTTCTATAGGACTTACTTGAATTGAATTATCAATTGATAGTAACTGGTTTGAACAGAACTATTTTTGTTAAAAATAATTTCATTTATACAACAATTATTTGATTGATTCAGTATAAGCAAAGAACTAAGAGATGTGTGGTTTATTGTCATATCAATTAAAACCTTTATGAACAACCCCCCTAATTTTTTAATAAACTTAAACTCTAATTAATTTCCTTAAATCAATCATTTTATTGGTTAATAATTTTTTGAGGTATAAAATAAGAAATTCATGAAAAGAGAGAAACATATTTAATCAGTATAAATTGGATGGAAGATTGTAGTTGAATGTTCTTCATTCATTGGTGATAAGCTCATCTTTGGAGAATTATTCTCTGAAAATGAAGTTACAGTAAATTCACTTGGAGCAGCAGGTGAAAATGCAGAAAGTGAATTTCTTCTTTTTATTGATGGACTTTTGTCATGAGGAAATTCAGAAGAATTTGGAGAGATACTACGAGAAGAAGAATTACTGTTATTTTGTTTTACTTGTTTTAAGAAATATTTTTGAGCATGACTTCTAATTTGAACTACTGTCTTAGTTTTAACATGTCCCTCTATTCGTTTCCAATCTTTGTGGTACAAAGAAAGTCCTTCAACAAATAAGGCATGTTCTTCATGTGTCCAAACTTCTCTCTTTTTTGTAATTGTATATTGTTTTCTTTTTTTTCTCATTGGAGATAAGGTTTGGCTTGGAGATATTTGATACACACTTTCTGATGAATTTAATTGACAACAGTGAAGGGACATAATGACTTTCAAGTTCTATCCTTCTGTTTTTTCTTTTTTCTGCTCAAATCTTCCATTTCAGTTTATTTTCTACAATCACAAATCTTTCCCTTCAGAGTTTTATTGATTTTTTTTCCTCTTTACTAGTCATCATTTTCTTTTCTTTTCTAATCTTCTCTTTAATCTTGTATTATCTCTTTTTGGTATTTCTCTTCAACTTTTGACGTAAAACAACAAGTGTGAAAATTTGGATTTTTTTGTTTGTCGTTGTTCTTAATTTAGATACCAAAATTTCGAAAAAATGATTAAACCATTTTAAATTTAATAATAATAAACTATTGTTAAATGTAAAACAAGACTAATTGCGAAAAAAATTACTATCTTATCTGTTGTCGACACCACAAAATTTTTTATTTATTAAAAAAAATCCTTTTAACTAATTTTTTTGTAATTTTAAAGATTTCCATCCCTCTTTTACAAACTTTTTCTACTAACTTTCCTTCCTCAAATCCTGAAAATAAAGTTTTCACAAAAATTAAATACAAAGCACCATTTATACACAACTATCTTTTTAATCCAGAAATGCCACTCCATCCACAAAAAATATTCGAACATTTTAAGAGTGAGGTTGATGATTCATTTTCAGGTAAGTTAGTAAGGATGAGATAAGACCCAACTATATCCCTTATGGTTTTGAAATAGTCTATAAAGTAATAACAAACACCTTCTACTTTTTGTTTGATGATACTATCCCTAACCAAGTCTGAAATGAGTGGACGAACAACTCGGCGAGGTAAGCATAGGCGTTGGGCTATTTCCTTACTGGTTAATGCTTTTTGTGAGTTTTGGATAGTGATAATAACAAGTAAGTGAGTTGAAGAAAATAAAAGACCTACTACATATTGGACGATAGTCTCACAGAGTTGGTATTGTTTAGACTGCTGCATGACAGGATATGATGAAGTTCTGATGATATGTGATTGTTTTCACTTTTGAAATAAGTTGATTTATTCATTTTATTCACAACAAAACTATTCTCTTTCCTTTTCATTTTATTTGATGTGATTTCTCGTTTTGGCATCTATTTACACATTACAGTTTAACAAATAAGAAGTTGTGATGAAACAAAGAAATAAGTCAAAAAAAGAAAAGATGAAAGAGAAATAAAAGAAGATAATGAATAGAAGAAAATAAAAAATAAAGCATAAACAAATAAATGAATTAAGTAATGAATAATTTGTTTATCTTATTCATTGTTTTGTCAAAAACAATATTAATATTAAAAAAAAGTCAATTATATTTGTTTGAGTGTGACAGAAATAATATCCCATGATTCAATTATGCTTTTAATCACAATAACTTGAACTTTTTTTGTTTATTTCTTGTATATTTTCTTATTAATCAATATTATAATGCCTATATTGTCATATTTCTCCATTTGTGATTTTTTATGATAAATACAAGATAGTATGATGTGTTCTACTGTTGTTATCTTGTCTTTACAAAGTGTGGAGTATTTCAATCTTTCATTTTTCATTATTTTTGATTTTCTATACAAACAAAATATTGCTCCATCTTTCATTTTAGTTAATTGGAGAAATGAATTTTTCTTAATATTGATTGACTTCCATGCTTTCACTGTAGTAGTTTTATCTACTCCTTTTGACTCAAACTATCTTCTAAAGTGTCTACTAATTTGATGACACTTCTATATTTTGATGTATTTGTCAATAATTTTTTATTTCTACTACTACTTCTTTTTCTTTTTTCTTTTCTATCCCTTCATTTATTATTTCTTCTATTTTTGTTTCTGGGATTTTATGAATTATCGTTTTTTAATTATATTCCATATTCCCTTCTTACTGTACCATCTCTCTAATATGTTATCTCCAATTTCACTTTCTCTGGTACAGTAGTACATTACTGTTCTTACTAATTCATTAATAGAAAAAAAAGAAATAAAAGAAAATATTATTCACAAAGGAAGAAACAAAAAATTAATAAAGCTACTCAATACTTAATTAAGAAGTAAAATAAAAAAGTATTAGTTAAGATAAAACTCAAACCAGATTAATCATATTTTGATTTTGCCCATAACAATACATTTTCTAATGAACTTGTTTTCTTACAATATTTTACAAGTCCAGCATCACCAATAAATTGTTGATTTTTTAGCCAGATAACTCTAGCCACATTAAGTATGGTTCGACACATTTGACCAACTACTTTTTTATCATTATCAGTATCTTTACTTTTATCATTACAGTCATTTAAAGAAACACCCCAAGCAGCCATCCGATGAATAAGAGTTAATTCAGCAATTCTTACACCTAATGCATTAAAGAAATCAATAGTACAATCGTCATGTCCATCTCCTTTAAAATGACAACATAACGCAATCCCTATTCCTCGTAATCTTTTTGTTTTTGTTAATGAAATTCCCATTCTTAATGCCATATCAGTAGCTGATCCACATAAATGTTTCCCAATAATAGTAGTAGAATTTTCTTGTGTTTTAATTTGATCGTCAATTTCTGTTTCATCAATTAATTCATTAATGTCAATATCACTTAAATCTGCTGCAATTCTTGTTATTTGGTCTCCAGTTCTTTTACTAAATCTATCATATTTTTTTCTTAATCCTGTCATTCTGTCTATAAGATATATTCTTGTATTATTGGAATGTGGAAGTATGGAATAGTATGCTGATAACATTCCACTTCCTGCTCCACTTTCTACAATATTTTGTTTCTTATCTCCTGAATTTATTATTATTTCTTTATCTATTAAATGTTTTAGTATTGATATACATTGTTTACTATGTTTTTCAGATTGAAACTCCCATCCTTCTGGCATTTCAATCTTTTCTATTTCTTTCTCTTCAACAATTTCTTCTTCTCCTTTATTATTTCTTATTCCTTTAAAAATATCCGTATATTTTTTCTCCATATATTCATAAATAATTTTAACTCTTTCTTTCATTATTTTAATTTCTTCCTCTCCAAATTGACTAAGTTTGATTTTATTACATTCACATCGAATAAATACACTTCCTTTTCTATTATTATCAATTCCTTTCTCAATAAATTTATCTTCTAAAAACGGAAGTAGTCGTTTTATCTCAACTTCTTTTGTAATGCTTTCTTTAATTATTGGTCGATTAATATTTTCTATTATATATTTTTTCCCATATGTTGATTTTCTTGCTGGGTTATTTGGACATCCTTTAATATGTCTTAAATATCTTCTTTTTTTTATTATATGTTCTTTATTAAATGGACAAATGACGGTTTCACTGTTTTTCTTCTTGTAATATTCTTTTCTATCAAATTCCTCTTTCTTTTCTTCTATGTCTTTTACTTTCTTTTCTTCTTCTTGCTCTTCTTTATCTTCTCCTATTTTTGTTTCTTGTTCTTTCTTTTCTTCTATATCTTGTATTATCCCTATTTCTTGTTTTTTGTGCTGTTCTTCACTCATTAATTATTTTCTTTATTTTTTTACTTAGTTCATTTTTTTTTCTTTGTGACTAAAACAAATAATTTCTTCAGTACAAAGAACATTATCCAATGATTTTAACATTACTTGTTTGGTTGCTTTTCTTATTTGTTTTCTACTCCTTGTTTCTTCTTCTCTTTTCATCTCTTTTCAATCTTTTAATCTTTCAATCTTTCAATCTCCTTTCTCTATTTAAACATTTTCTTTTGTTTTTTCTTATAAATATACTATTATGACTGATGAGTATGACTTATCTCCTTTATCGGATGACAACTCTTCTTTCACACACTCTCATTCACAACATAACTTACTTACTTCTGATCCTCAATCTTCCCACTTATTCTCTTCAACCTCTTCCGTAAAGAAGAATGAAAGATTCACAAATCCTTTAAGAACAACAGGAACTTCTTCTAGTTTTCTTCAGAAAACACCTCTTCTTTCAAAACTTCTTTCAAACTCAACACATCCTAATCAGTCATGTCTAAATTCTGCACAAATTCTGTGTGACAATAAATCATCTTCACAACTCAACTTTTCATTAGACGAGGTTATTCCAAGAAATGAAAGTGAAAGTAGTGATAAAAGTAAAACAAGACAAGAGAAAGAACTAGAAGAGGTTGAAAGAAATATTCAAAGAAGACAAGAAACAGAAGCAAAGAAAGACAATAACAAAGAAGAGGAGAATACAATAAATAAAATTACATCCATTAGTATTAAAGGAAGTCAATTAGGAATAGCAACAATTGACATTGAAGAAGGGAAAATGGAAATATCAAATGTATTTATTAAAAGAAAAGAATATTCAAATATAAATAGATACATCTATCAAACAAATGGAAATATTATTATCACACATAATCATATTTCCGAAGAAATTATTAAAGCATTAAAAAGAAAAGAACAGAAAGTTATTATTTTATCAAGTCAAGATTTTAGTATTGAAACATGTCAAAAATATATTCAAATAATTCCAAATCAAATGAATAAAAGAAATAAAGAGAAAGAAACAAACCTTATTTCTCTTTCAACATATATTCCTCTTGAACAGAATAATGAACTAACAAAAGCAATTGGTGGGTTATTAAAATATTATTATCAATATATTAATGAACAAGAAGAAAAAGACAAAGAAAAATATTCAATTAAAGAAATTAAAAGAATAGAATGGGATAAAATACTTTATATTGATGAACATACATTTAAATCATTATGTATTTTTAAAAAAGAAGAACATCCAGATATTCATAGTACAGGAGGAGGAAAAGAAGGAATAAGTTTATATGGATGTTTAAATAAATGTATGACTAAAGGAGGAAGTAAATTATTAAAAGAATGGTTATTAAGAATAGAAATTGACAAATACATTATTGAAGAAAGACAAAGTTTTCAAAAAGAAATTGGAAAAGAAGAATATAAAGGAATTATTGATATTCTAAGAAAATATCTTAGAAAAACAAATGAATTTTTAAATTTAAGTAATAAAATTCAAATGTTTCAAATGAATGATAATGATTGGATTAAATTTTATAAAGTTATCTATTCAATTTATCAAATAATTAAATTACTTAATGAATATTCATTTAAACATAGAATTATTATTCAATTAGAAAGTAGATTTCAATTAATTAGTACAATTAAAAATTATTTAGAACAAATTTTTGATATTAATCATTTATTACAAAATGAATTATTTATTAATTCATCTTTTAATAATAATTATGATAATTTAATTCTTCAATTTAAACAAATTAATACTATTCTTATTGAGTATCATTCAAAATATCATTTAAAATATTGTTTCTTTAATAAATTAGGATTTTTAATTGAAATACCTTCATTTTCTACTTCTTTAAATTCAAATTGGAATTTAATTTTTAAAACTGTTGATTTTTATTATTATAAAGATATTCATTGTATTGAACTTGATCATTCTATTGGTGATATTAATCAAAAGATTCTTGATTTAAAAACTCTTCTTTTAGATAATTTATCATCTTCTCTTACTCCTTATTTATCTCTTTCTTCTAGTATTTATAATGATTTGTCGGAATTGGATGTTTTACTTGATTTTGTTGTTTGTAATATGTTATTTAATTGGAATTTACCTTCCATTGTTAATCCATCTGATCCTTTAATTTTATCTGATGCTAGAAACCCAATTCTTGAATTATTCACTTCTTCAGCAATTCCTAATTCAACAAAAATTCTTTCTATTCCTATTCAAATCATTACTGGTCCTAATTCAAGTGGTAAAACAGTTTATTTAAGACAAGTCGGAATTAATGTTATCATGGCTTTACTTGGTTGTGGCGTTTGTGCTTCTAATGCTCAAATCCCTCTTTTTAGTCACATCTTTACTAAATTCTCTTCCTCTGACTCTTCTCTTTCTTCTTTATCTGCTTTTACTACAGACTGTTCTCTTCTTAGTACTTCTCTCCGTCATCTTTCAAATGACTCTTTATTACTTATTGATGAATTTGGTAAAGGAACACATCCTTCTGATGGTTTGGCTTTATTTATTGCTACACTTCGCTATCTTCAATCTTTAGGCTCTAACGCTCCAAAAACAATCATTTCCACTCATTTCATTTCCTTTTTTCATTACATTGACTTGAATAAATGTGTTCCTCTTAAAATGGACGTTCTTCTTAATCAATCTAATAACTCTATCACTTTTTTATATCATCTTGTTAATGGAATATCAGACTCTTCTTATGGCATCCATTGTGCTCGACTCGCTCATCTCCCCTCTTCTCTAATCTCCCGTGCTTCTCAAATCGCTACCTCTTTATCCACTTCCTCTCCTATTCTCCCTTTATCCTCTCATCTCAACTTAGAATTTTATTACAACTCCCTTCTTTCTAATTTCTCTAATTTTGACGTCGACAATGGTGATCTTTCTCTTTTATTAAATTCTATCTCTCTCATCTCTTCTCATCTCTCTTCTTTAAAACTTAAACCTCTTTAATTCTTATTTCCCTTTATTTTTGTTAAATTTTAAAAGTGGTGTGAAAGAAAAAATTTTGATAAATTGATGATTCGAAAAGAAATTGTTGGTGGTTCTATTGTAATAAAAAGGTAAAAAATGAGAACAAAAATAAACGAATTAACTCAAAAGTAACTATCCCAATTTATTTTTTCTGACAATATAACTTACACCAATGCACAGCACCCACCTTCATTATTTTTATCCCAAGGATTCGAGTCTTTGAACTCAGGACTGAAAGGGTCTACTTTACTTTTTGTAAAGTTAACTAAATCTGAGCACGCTTCACTAACTTTCATTAAGTTCTTTGATCTCTCGAAGTTTTTCATTAGTCGTTCTTTCTCTTGTAATAATCTAGTTAACTGTTGTTGGGACATAAGTTCCCTATTTTTTTAAATTTTTAGTTCTTCAGTCTTATTTTTATATTTTCTTTTCTATAAAAATAGTTGAATATTTTTTGATTTTTTTATCACTTCTTTTCAATTTTAATTTTTAAAAACCGATAAGAAAATATTTTCTTTTTTTTTAGTTCCTCCAATTTGTGAGAATGAACGAGGAAGATAGAGTCTCAATAATATGTAGTTATTATGTTGAATTTCAGGTTAGTTCTGTCAATTATAAAACAACTTTTGCCTCTGGTCAAGTCAATGATGTAAAAGAATATATGCAATTTGTTTACCCAGAGTTAAATAAATTAAACTATGAAGGAATTAGTGGTATTCCTGCGAAAGTATTTTCATGTATTCGAACTACTCTTGAACATGAATATGAGTATTGTTATTATTTAAGATATACAACAACTACTCCTAAAGTTATTATTATTGTTACAAAGGAATATAATACTTTTTTCTTAGATTTGTTGAGGGCAATGTTAAATACAAAAGAATTTTTAAATCCTCCATTAATTCTTCAGCGATGTATGACGTTAACAAACAGAGAACTTAAAAAATCATTTATTACATTAGGTAACTTCCAAATAACTAACAAACAACCAAATTATATTATTGAAACAATTAAAGCATTTGGAGTTAATACCTTCGTTGATATTGTGTTTAAGATGCTACTTGAAGAACGATTTATTTTTCATAGCTGTACTCCAGAAACTATTCACCCAACTATTCAAGCATTTCTTAATGTTCTTCAACCTTTTGTATGGCAACACATTTTAATTCCAATATTACCTCTTTTTCTTTCATCCTATTTAAGTTCAATACTTCCATGTATAATTGGATGTACACGCGGTACTTATGCTAATTTTATGATGGAATTTGGTGAAGATGATGATGTACATGTTATAGATATTGATAAACACCAAGAAGTTTCACGATGTATTCGAGAGAATTATTTAGTTAATATGCCAATGGGAATTTTTATGGCAAGACTAGATTTTATTATTGCTAATGAACAAGAGTTTAATGATGAAGATGTAGTCAAATTGTTTAAACAATTGTATAAGTTAATGTTGGAGAGACATAGTCATTTTTTTAAAAAGAATGAATCTAAGTTTGAGTTTGCCCAAGAAATGTTTTTATCAAGTACTTCTTCTTTTAAGGAATTCTTGAAACACTTTAGTCAGTCTCAAATGTTCTTTCAATTTATAGAAGAAGAAACAAACAAATTAAACCATAATCTTCCAATATCACCAATAATAAATGAAACATGTACTGTTAGATATAGAAAGTTACAAGACATTAGTTCAATACAAAGAAGATGTGGGAGATGTCTTGAGGAGATAGTTAAAGAAGACCCTGTTTTTCAATATCAAGACAATTCAGTCCATCATAGACAATGTGCAAGATGTATTATTTGTAATAAATTCAGTGATAGAAAGAAATGTTTATTATGTGGAGGTATTAATGAACCTATAACTAAACAAGATATTAGTCTTGCATATAAACATGCTCTACAAAAACAATATGATAAACAAAAGAAAATAAGCGAATCTTTTATTACAAACGAACCTATTGATGAAAATGATTTAAAGTATGAATTTGTTGAAACTTTCCAACGTTCAATGAAAAATTCAATTAAGAAATTGCTTGTACTTAGTCCAAATGAACGAACAAAAGAACAAAAGAAAGTAACTTCAACACCACAAGAAACACCTAAACATGGAGAGGTACTTAATTGTTCTACTGATTCATTTACATATATATCTAATGAACAACTAAAACCACAACCCTCACCACCTCAGTCATCTTCTGTAGCACGAACACCACATAACTATCATCCATTACCTCCAAAACAACAAAACTATCCAATACCACCACCTCAAGATGAGATTGTTTTTTCTAAACCACCAGCTCTTCCTCCAAGAAGAAGTGCTTCAACAACCCAAGCACTACCAACAGTCCCTACAAGAACATACCCAACAAATAATAACAATAAACAATTGGAACAACAAACTAAACGAACAAGTGGACATACCAACTCATCTCCTAACCTAACATCTACTAGAATTACTGAAAAAACTGAATCAATAAATAAAAGACCATTACCACCTGTACCAAATAAAAGAACCAATTTCAAAATTAATTCTAATTAATTCTAATTGTTTTTTATTTATTTCAGAATTGGTTAATTGAAAAAGAAGTATAAAATTTTAATTATTTATTACTTACCAAATAAAAGGAATGAAGCGATAACGAATAGGGAAGTTCTTAAAAGTCTTTTTATAAGCATTATGTTGACGTTGTGATAACATAACCATAGCCACCCAATTTAAAATACATAAAATAATTGATGTTTTTGTAAATGAAGTACAAAACATAAAGGAAGTAAAGAAAAGTCCCTCAAACAAATTGTTAGGACAAGAAATAAAAGAATATAATGCCTTAGATGGGAAATAAGCTAATTCACCAAAAGCATTATAACCTTTTGAGAGGTAAGTATGATGGTAATACAGTCCCATTGTACAACTCATACAATTAATTGCTCCAATAATTGTACAGAGAGTACTTGTTTCATTTTTTCTGTAACAAAGTTCAAATGAGAGCATTGCACAAATCAATACACCAGTAATTGCAGTGAACATTGCTCTAGCAAGTCCAACAGTAGGTTTAGCTGGATAATCAAGGAATAATGAAAATAAGGATTTAAAGACTAAATAAACAATCAAAATAATACATGATATCATGGCAGTAGATTCTGTAGTTTCTTCTAATGAAGGGATTGATGGATGTGTTGAAAAATAAACTAATAATATAGCACAAATACTATAGATTGCATTTGAAGGAAATAATAATGATGAATGAAGTTGTGGTGGTAAAATAGTAACTTCTATTTTGCAGTGATCAGTTACCTTATAACTATTTAATGTATGACTATTACAGTCTAATACAATACCATTGCATTTTAATTCTAATCTATCAATTGAAATATTGATAAGGTTGTCAATTTCGTTCTTTAAATTAGCAACAATTTCTGTTTCTTCAACAGTAATAGGGTATTCTTTATTTTGATAATTGATAGTTAAGTGCATATCTTATTGAAATATGAGTTCCAATAACTCAGTTCAAAGAAAATGTTGAAAGAAAGAAAAAAAAAATTGATTTGATGTGCTTTTCTTTACCTTTAACTTCCTTCTTTTTTAACTTCAAATAAAATACAATTATGTTATACATAACAATAAATTAATTTTCTATTTCCATTAAATTTTGGTTCTTCCATTGTTGACGACAAACTGGACAATTAGTATTTTTTTCAAGCCAAGTGTCAATACAGTGTTTGTGAAATGTATGACCACACTCCCCTACTACTGGTGGACATTGTTCTCCAGGAAAAATGCAACATGGACAACAATAGTCAAGTGTAGATTGACAAAAACAACATGTGTCTTCAAGTAAATCCCAAGACCATGATGATATTTCATTCCATTCAATTATTTCAACAGTCATATAAAAATTATTTAATTAAATAGTTTTTTTAAAAATTTTTGATAGAAAACTTGAGTAACTAAAAAGAAATTTTATTATTTAACAATGACTTTAGTATACAAAGAATTGTTACATCTGCATTAGAAATAATACAAAAAGAGTTTTTTTTATTAGTCAGAATGAAGATGATATTGTTATAAAATCAAAAATAAGTTATATGTAAGTATAAACAATTTTATAATAATGAAAAATAAAGATTTTTTTTATAAAACTAATTTTAATAATTCTTTTTATTTAATAAATTAATTAAAAAATTATTTTTTTTTTTTTGAAAAAAATTAATTAGTAATTTTAAATAAAAAAAAAAGTTTCATTAAATTTATAATATTTTCTTTTAAATAATATTGAATATCTTAAAAAAAAAATAAAAGAATGTTTTAAGTTAATAGACTATTAAATTTGTATTTAAAATAATTAGTATCGTTTTTTGAAGTATATAATTTAATTATTTAGTTTTTAAAACATGTTATATTATACAATAATAAATTTCAAAAATTTAAAATAAGTTTATAAATTTCAATAAGAAAAAAAGTTAAAATTTAAGGTATTTTTGTAAAAAATGATAAAAGTTATAAAAAAGAAGAAAGAGTCTGATTTGCTTTCATTATTTAGTTATTAATATAAAGAAAAGAATAACTTTTTTTATTTCACAATTAAATAAACCTAAATATTAATTACCCAAAATAAAAATTCCAAAAATAAATACAAAACAAAAATTTAATTGTTTCAATTTATTTATTGAAAACTAAAAATAGTTAATTTAAAAATATCAAAATATTATAAATTATTATAAAATATAGTAAATTGACTTTACATCTTAAAAATGAAATGCCACATGAAGCCTTGTCAGCAAAAAAGGTGGAGGGATATTTGAGTGCAAAAAAAAATTAAAATACATAATGACTTACGGTTTCCCAAAGACATCTTTCTTTATTGGTTTATTATTAATTGGGTTACTTGTTTTACAAACTTATTTACCACATGCACCACAAATACCAAGTTACGAAGTAACTTATGCTTCATTTAAAGATAAGGTAAATTCAACATTCTGTACTGCAAATTATCCATCTACTATTCAAAAGGTAGTAACACAATTACCTAAGTTTAATGCTGATATATTACTTATTGTTTTAGCTTTATCAATTATTTTAGTTTGGCTATTTAATTTGATTCCACAAAATGGATTCTTCTCATGGACTTTAATCCATTTATTGACACTTTTGTTAACTGTAATTGGTGCTGGAGCACTTTATTTATTCTGTTTAACTCCATCAGTTACTTGTAATACATTCAAAACAATAGTATTAAACTTTGAAAAATACAGTAATTTTGAATTTATTACTGGTAATTATAATATTATTCCTTCTATTCTTTCATTTGTTCCATCACATATTTTTGATAAATTTACTATTTTCAAAGGTATCTTTATTAATTATGTTAATAAGCTTGGTGTTACTACTCCAATTTTTGTTGTTGTTATTGCTTTCTATTTAATTAATAAAAAAACTAGATTAGTTACTAGATTTGAATTATCTTCATTTATTATTTTAATTATTTCTGGTATTTCTGGTATTGAATATTATAAAATGACATCAGATTATATCTTTACTGGTGTATTTGTTCTTGGAACTATTGTATTAGGTATTATTTTTGTTAACTTATTATTGACTTTCTACTATATTCTTTATGCATCATTATATATTTTCGGTTGTTACTTGTTAAGTTATAGATTACTTAGCCTTTGTCTTATTTTCTCAGTTCCATTTGAATTAGAAATTGCTTGTGGATTCTTTATTTTCTTATTCAGTAATATTTTCATTTGGACTTATGACAGAAGTTATTTGACTGCTATCTTGTTACTTATCAATGGCTTGAATAAACTTTATCTTCTTCCATATGAAGCTTCAGTAATCTTTGTTTTCCTTTTTTACATTTTCACATGTGACTGCTGCTGCAAGTGCAATAAAACTTGTAAGAAAGATGCTAAACAAAAAACTGATTAATTAAATTATTCAATTTAATTATTGTTTATTATATTTTTTTTAATATTTATTAAAGAATAATCTGTTTTAGTATATTTTTATTGAAATGAAAGACTAACACTCCTTATCAAATCATCATTATTGAAATTTGATAAAATACAGTTAAATTATACTCAATTTTATTTCTAATTTATTACTAAAGATAAAAAAATGAAATGATATAACAAAACTATAATAATTATGCAAAAACGAAAAAAAAAATTGATTAAAGAAAAATTCAAATAGACACAATAAGAGAATACTTATGTTCTTTCACCTCTAATTCTTCTAGCAAGTTGCATATCCTTTGGCATAATGGTAATTCTCTTAGCGTGAATAGCACACAAGTTGGTATCTTCAAAAAGTCCAACAAGATAAGCTTCAGCAGCTTCTTGAAGAGCAGAAATAGCAGCTGATTGGAATCTTAAATCACTCTTTGAGACTTGAGCAATTTCTCTGACAAGAGCTTGGAATGGTGCTTTTCTTAATAAAAGCTCAGTAGATCTTTGTAAGACTTTAATTTCAGTAAGAGCAACTGCACCTGGATGTGCTCTTTTCTTCTTAGTACTATCCTTTGATAACATCTTTTTAGCAGCTTTGAATGCTACATTTTTTACAGCCTTAGCTGATTTATTGCTTGGTCGTTCAATATGTCCTTTAGTTCTGGCCATTGTGTTAGTAAACACAGTATTGATATATTCAGTTCATTTCTATCTTTAAATATTCTTCTCTTCCTCAATTTTTAGGGTTTCTTTTTTTCGAAGACTTTTGTAAATTTTTCTCTTTTCTTAATCTTTTTCTCTTTTTTCATTTCTAGTTTTATACTTATTTCTTATAATTTTTATTGTTATTTTATTTTTAATATTTAGGGTTTCTTTAGGTTTTCTATATTAGATAAAAGAGAAAAAGTCATTATAATAACACAATAATTTATAGTTCTTTTTATAACAAATAATCATTTTTTCTTCAAAACACAAAGTAATAAAAAAATTTATAAATACCAAAAAAATTGAGAAGTTTTATTATTAAATGTTTTTAAGTAAATAGTTTTTAGTACAGTTTTTCATGTAAAAAAAAGAATTGGGTTATTCTGAAATAGAAATTAATTTCTTTTAATTTGTATTAAATTTTTATGTTGAAAATAAAAGAGTTAAGTCTTAATTTTCTATAATAAATAATTTATATAATAATATTATTCATTAAAAAATAGTTATTAGTAGAATAATACTTTTAAATTAGTATAAAATAGTTTTAATGATAATATATTCTTCTAAACAATTTAGTTTAAAAAAAAAAAACAAATCTAAACAATGAATCAATAATTTTTATTAAGAAAATTGAAGTTAAATTTATAATTTTAATTAAAAGTTGTAAATTCATAAGTCTCTAAATTTGATAAAGAGGTTACATAAAATATTAGACATTACATTTTAATAAATACCATTAATAAGAAAATAATTTAGTACAATAAAATTAAAAGATAAGAAAGTATAATAACATTACTTTTAAAATGGTATAATATTAAAATAATTATTTAGTTAAATTAAATTAATAATTTAATTTCTTAAAACATTAAAAACAAAAATTGATATAATAAAAAGAGATATGAAATGGTTATATTTTAAAAAGGAAGTTACAAGAAACAACAAAATAACTAAGAGTGTTTAATAATAAATTATATGGTGTTTCTCTTAATATTGAAAAGGAAAAAAGAAATACAAAAAGGGGTTAATAAAAATTATAATAAAATTTAAAAAGAAAATGAAGAACTAAAAAGAAAACAAAAATGAGTGAAAGACACGAACATTCATATAGAAATAAAAATCAAAAAGTGAGGGAAGATATCGTAGAGAGGAAGTCGAGAATACTTTTTGTTCGTAATATTTGTTTTAATACTAATGAAGAGAGTATTAAAAAATTATTTGAGAAATATGGAGAAATTAAAAAAGTGTTCTGTCAAATTGAGAATAGAGGAATTGCCTTCATTACTTTTGTTTGTTTTTCCAGGGTTCATTGTTGTTTTTGGTATGAGTCATAACATAACTATTTTATAATAATATTTTAGTATGATATTCGTGATGCAATAAAAGCTCATGAAGAATTAAATAAAAAAGAAATTGGTGGAAGACCTATCAAAATTCATTACTCATTACCTAAAGATAATGAAATTAATAACATGGATAGCCTTAAGAATCATGTTTGTTTTCTTTCTTTATTACTCTGTTATTAATATACATAATTTTATTTAAAATAATTGAATTAATAATGGTTAGGCAAATTTATATGTCATTCTTCGTGGTTTTCAAAAAATCCCTACCAACGATGAAATCTTTCATTATTTCGAAAAATTTGGTGAGGTGTCTGAAGTTAGAGACTCTGCTGATAAAATTACTATTAAATTTATTGAATACTATGATTCAAGAGCTGCTGTTAAAGCACTTGAATCTTCTAATAATGCTCATTGGAATGAAGGAACTATAGAAGTAAAATACGCATCATTTTCTAAGTTTGTTTAAACGTATTCTTCTATAGAAAATAAGCAATAAGTCTTATACATTAGAAAAGATCTTGAACGTATTGTAGAAACAAAAAATCAATTAAAAAAATTAAAACATGACCATTTAGCAAAGGATAGAATTAAAAACTACCCAAAACATAAGTTGCCTAGTTCCTCTTCAAAAACAATCCCACCTTATTCTATTTATCCTTCTTTATACCAACCTCCGTATACATCTACATATCCTTCTCAATATCAACCTCCTTATGTTAGTTATCAATACCCACCTCAATATTATCCACTTTCTATTCAAATTCAACCACTAAACAACAACCCTTCTCCTTCAGTTCCTCAACTTTATCATTCAATTCATCCTTATTATCAACAACAAAGTCCAACCACACCAAAGGCATTACCTGAATATTCAAATTCACAAGAACAACCATTTGTACAAGACCCACTTCAAAAACCATCACCACCACAAAATCTTCAAACAACTTCTAATCCATCTGATGACAGAAAACAGAATGAGTCAAACCCTCAACCAACATATAACCCTTATTTTTCTTCACGACAAGTTCAAACAACATCTGAACAATCGTGGAAATCAGACACAAACCCATATAAATGAATATTTTTTAAAAAACTTTATTGTTTTTTGTCTATAATATTAAATAAGTTAAAAAAAAGAAAAAATTAATTTATCCAAAACATTTGCAATTAATTTTTCTTGTTAATTGGCATTCCAATTGATTCAAGCATTTTGAGAGTAACTGGATCAGCAGTGATCTTGTCAATATTAACTTCAGACTTTTCTGGGACATAATTATCTCTTCTTTCTCTTTCTTCCTCTTGAAGTTTGAAAGAAATTCCTCTTACTGGTCCTTTTTGAATTCTTCTCATCAAATGAGTAATAAATCCAGCAATTTTATTTCTTAATCTTTTGGTTTCAACAACAGCAACTTCATCAACAACACGCTTATTAGTATGGAAATCAAGAGTTAAGAGTGGGTAATACTTTTCAATAATATTTCTAGCAGCTCTTTTAACTGTCTTAGTTCTGACTCCTCCCATTACTTGTAAATCAGTTGAATTATGAAGTTCAACAGGAAAATTAAAAACCCTGAAAAAGGTTTTTAATTGTAATAGTTTTGTTTTAATAGATTTTTATAATAAGAATAGTGTTATAGAAATATTAATGAGATCTTTGAAAAGAAGAACCATCAACCGAAAATTTTAAGTTCACATCTTGTATTGTATCAATTGTTCAAAAGATGCCAAATGGAGTCATTATTGATGAATTAGGAAGTATTTGGAAAATTACTTTATGTGTTGTTTGGATTATTTGTTTAATTATTGGTATATTCTTTTCTTTTGGCCAAATACTTGAAATTGGAATTATATCCAATTCAACTACATTCAATGTTGGTTCTTCGTTTAATGGAGATGATACTGTTGCTTTTGTTTCTTTTGTTGGTAATGAAAAAAAGATAGAAGGAATTGTTGATTCATTCAATGGTATGAATATTGTTAATAAAATAAAAGAAGATAAGACTGATGAAATTGAAAATGAATTGAGTTCTATTGGATTAAAGTCATCTCTTATTTCTTTAGAAGAGGATGAAACTAGTTCTTCATTAAGTGAAGGAGATACATATTATTTCTTTGATGTAGAACTTTTAATAAAAACATACAACCAGTTTCAAGCAACAACTTGTAAGCCATATGTCAAAACTGATTTAAACCATCAATCAGTAGATAAAATAACAATTAGTGGAAATGCTACTTTTTGGTGGCTAGATCATCCTGAGTTGAATTCTTTTGATAACATTAATAAACCAGTCAAATTTGAAACACAATGTTCATTCACTGTTTGTTTTTATTAAATTAAACTAAATTAATATCTATGTTAAAATATTTATTCAAATAGGGTGGAGAGTGTAATAGATTTAGTTTTATTTATTTAAGAAATGTCTTCAATTCTTCATATACGTTTATTTTCTTCTTTAAAGTTGGGTTTTATAATACTTTAGTAATGGATTCTAAAAGAGGAATTCCAGGATATTCATTATTCAAAATATCATTTGTTACTTTCCTTGTAATTTTATCAGTTATAGCAACTATACTTTATTCTATTTTATATTTCTTTATGAAGTTATATAAAAATGATGAAGACCATTTTTATATTAATAGTTTTATTATGATTATCTTATTAAATTTTTATAACAATCCATTCAATATTCTTCGATTCTTCTTTAATGCTGATTGGATATCATGCATTGATACTTGTATATATACTATATATCAAATTGTTTTAATTTCATTTATCTTTTTACATATCGACCATTCGAGAAATGTTTGTTGTTAAATTATTTCTTATAAAAGGTTTATGTGTTATTTATAAACTAGCAAGCATTAGGAAAGAAGAATAGTGTTTTAATATGGATATTAAGAGCAACAGGACTTCTTGCATATTTTGTATTTTTCTTATTGTATTTCATTTTATATTATCTTCCATCAAATAAATCACCATTTTCTGTAGTTGATGATACTATGTCTATTGGTCTTATGTTTGGTGCGTTATCAACTTTTATTTGTTTCTTATTATATGGATGGACATTGATTTATATGTTGTTTACTTATTCTGAAATACGATCCCCTCTTTATAAAAACAGAATTTTTTGGTTTAGTATTTTTACTAGTGTAGTTTTAATAGTTACTCTTCTTCACTTGATTTTTGGTCAAGACATGAATTATTTACCTCGTTTGTTATTCTTATAAAATCTTTTTTTGTTGTTAAATGAATAATGATTAATTGTTGTTTATAGCTATTTCTATGATTTGTAGACAGTTATTGTGTAATTTGTATGTTTACACATTAACATTTATTTTCTTTCCAAAAGAAATTTCTAATGATGACGAATATGGTATAACTGCTTATACACAATTTTAATTTTATTTCTCAACAATTCATTATCTTCTTTTTCTAAAAAATTAATTTACATAAAATCCCAAATATTTATTTTACAATCAGATCCTAAAGAAGCATATAATGGATCTTCATGTGATGAAAATCCTGCAGTACTTAACAACCTACCTTCATGTCCATCAAATCTATTTAACACATTCATTTGATAATCTAGTTGTATAAATCCATTTGAAGGATATCCAAGAGCAACAAGTATATATTCTTGTTTTTCCTTATAATCAATAGATACTACTTGTGCATTAGTTTCAACATAACTTCTTTCATTTGTAAGATAATTCCATCTTTCAATTGTCCTATCACGTATCCCTCCCCCTGACAATATTACATTATTTCTATTAATTTCAAAACATAGAGCTTTAACAGCTGATTTGTGGAAATAATCAATATTAATTGGAGTGTTATTGAAACGTATATCATATACATATACAATATGGTTACTTGTTCCAATACAAATAGTATTATCTTTTATTACTAATCCACAGATTTCTCCTTCAAATAATGTTGATGATGTAGGTTTATCAAATGATATTCTTCTGTCAATTAAATTAAGTTTCTTGTCTTTACTTCCAGTTACAATTATATTTTCTCTACAAATGATTCTTCCTATTCTATCATTATGGATTTTTGCTTTATTGGAAACTACATTTTCTTCTAAGTCAATTTGGTATAAAGTCCCATCACAATCACCAAGAATAACTGTTTTTTTTCCTTCTTTCTTTACACAACTCACTGAATATAATTCATAGGTAGGAATTAATTGACAATTCTCATTGGTTATAACATTAACAGCAAACACAGAATTGCTTAGCCCAACAATCAATGAATTTTCAATCCAGTCAATACAATTAAAATAGAATTGATTAACAACTCCTTCAACATATATTTCTTTGTATAATGAATTAGTGGTTATGTGTTTTTTTGTTCGTTTACTTTTTAAACTTAATCCAACCCAATCACCAATATCTCTTCCAATAAAGTCATCACCAATCAATGGATTAATGGAGAGTTTTAACTTTGTTGATTTGTATTTGTAAAGTTCATTTGAGATTTGTTCATTTTCACAAAACCTTTGAAGGGAGTATTGAAATTTATTAATAGGATAAATTTGAATTAATTTATCCAAGTGATGAAAATCACTTTTCATTACTTTATTTTAGGCAACAATTCTTTTATATTTGAAAAGCTATTCGTTAGTTTTAAGAAGATTTTTAAATCTTTCCTTTCAAACAACAAAAAAAAATAAAAATGAAAGGTAAAAACGAAATTAGAAATTATTTTTCAGGAAGTTTTGAAAGGACAGTGTTGTTGAAATTCTTATATTTTGTAACTTTTCTCAATATAAGATGGTGTTTCTGATATTTCACAAGTTGTTGATGAGTTGAGTATTTTAAATTTTTCTTTTTCTGAATGAAGGTTTTGATTCGATAAATGATACAGTGGATGATCAGTTGATAGATTATTTTTGATAGTTTCTATTGCAATCTTGACATACGTTGGTAATATAACTTTATTTATTGATTCAGAATAAGGTATATATGTGGGTGGTTGAATTGGTGAAGATGTCCTGGAAGTAGAAATGTGAGAATTATTTTCAGCAATTTTCTTGTTAGTCTTGTGGTTAAAAATAAAAGTACAACGACCATTATTATTAAACTTATCTGAAGAGACAATTTTGTCAATTGTTTTTTTTTTTGACTAACGACATTACAAAAAAATATATGTAGTACAGTCTTGAATAAATAAATGAAGAGCAAAAGTTGGAATTTCATATGACAATGAATTTCCATTTATATAAACACCAGAAATTAAAGTTGTTTTTATTTTTGATATTATTCTAAAAGTATTAAATGAGACTGGAGTGATAATAATTATATTCTTACTTAAAATATCTGGAGAATAAGAGTGTGTGCAATTCCAAATTATTTGAAGGTTATATTCTTTTTGTTTTATTGTTTTAAATAATTTAGGACAATCACAAATTACGTTTGCTTCGTTTGTTTGAATTAATATCAATTTATCTACGTCAGTTTGAATACCTGAGGGTTCTTTTTCATTGTACTTCCTAAGTGTTGAATGAAAGAGATGAAAAATTACCCAATTTTATCTTGTGGTGGAAAGTCAATAAGAATTTTTGCGTTAAGGAAAGGTTGTTGATTATCTAAGAGAATTAACTCATTAAGTAATTGTTCATTAACTTCTAATTCAAAACCATCTTAACTCAATTCCAATAACACATAAATGATAGAGTCGAGTTACAAAAAATGGAGAAATACACTCTTATCTTCATTTGGAATAAAATCTATTAAGAATGATTTGAAATGTAATTGATAGTATCCTTCTAATTGTTTTGGATATTGACCAGTTTCTTTTGTTGATGAAGAAACAAAGAGAGGAATTCTTTCAATTCGCTTATCTCCATCATATTGAGAATTAACAGTATTTTCTTTTTTGATATAATTTGTCGAAATGTACTAACATAATCAATAGAACTTTCAAATACAAATTTACCGTCACAACTTCTTTCAATAATAGCACACCGTAATTGTGTTTTATCTGTTTAATGGAGATCAATAAGAGAATACAATACTCCATTTTTATAAACAACTCTTATATGATCTAATGCAATATTGAAACAACATTGCATTAATTGAAATTCCTTAACAAAATGAATAGAAAGGAAAGTATCGTTTATTTGCTTCAAATAATTCTTTACTAATGAAACTTATTGAGATGTGTTTGATTTGAGGAATAAGACTTGGAAATAATTGATTTAATTTGGTAAATACATCAAACAATGTTTTCAGATATTCTTTTTGTAATGATTTTGCATCATTTAAATAGTCATAAAGAATATATATCAATAAATAAACAAAAACATCAGGAATATTTTGTGGTTTAGGACAATAAATAAATTTTTCTAATACAAAGAGAACTAATTGTACTACAACCAAAGAAAATGTATTTTCACCATGTTTTGGGATATAATGAGTATATTTACATAAGCCATGTAAAAAGTTGAAGTATAATTACAGTTTTTTATAATTAACTTCTTTGTCTATATCAATTGAGTACATTTTTTGAATGTCAGATAATAATAACAATGTTAGATGATGAATGGTATTAACAGTATAAGTACTATAATTAATATGGAAATTAGATATTTCTGGTGTTATTAGAAGAAATGAAATAAAGAATGTTGTAATAAAATTACAAAGACTAAAGATAAGTTTTCCTCACCTACAAGATCAGTACTTATTAGTTTTCTGATAAATGTACAGAATAATGTGTCTATTTGATCTTCTAAATTAATCATATTTTTTAATTCCATTGTAGAGTAAACATTATAATGAACTAATGAATTATTTAATGTTTTAATAAAACCACGGAAAACCTAAGCATTTAAATACCCTTTTATTCTTTTAACACTTAATGAAGTATTTAATATATTATCAATTGAACTATAGATTAGTTTAAGAGATAATGGTAAACCACTTAATTGATACTTTAATGTTGTTTGAAGATTATCTAAACATGATTTATTTACAAAGAAGTTTAAAGATGAAAGTGATTTTTGAATAGTACTAATTAATAAAGAAATATATTTAGGATTATATTGAGTTAGTGATAATGTTTCTGAAAAGAATGATAATATATTTCCTATAAAAACACAAATAGCTTCTTCATAAATATCATAGTCACATGAAAATAGTGGTGATGAAGCTACTTTTCCATATAAGTATAATATAATATTTCCATCAACAGGTGGTAATGATGTTGAATTAGTGTTACAACTAATTCTACATTAAAGATCATGCATTAATAAACTAATACCTTCTTGAAAAATTAATGTATTTTCTGAAGTTATTGTATTATAATCAATTCTACTTAACCTATAAATAAAGCCAAATTGACTGTAATGTTGGTTGGCTCATTTCAATAATTCTTTCTTTTCCATTATTTTTAATAAAATGAATTGTAGCAACTTCTTGATTTTCTATAAGACTTTGCATATAACTTTCTTGTAGACATAAAGTAGTTTCAATCCATTGTTGAAGTACATCTGTGTTTAATTGCCATTCAATAGAATGGGATATAAATACATGCCATAAATTATTTGAAACACTAGCATTTTTTAATAAATAGAAGTGTAATACGTTAATTAGTCTTTTAAGTAAATAAAAATAATATTTATTTTGTTTGTTTTTGAAATAATTTCTTTTCTGTCAGAATGAAACTATTCAAATACAGTAACAAAGATACCATACACACAACTTAATATCCATTCATTACGTTCTTTTTCCATATTGACTATCAGTTAACTTATAAAATATATCTACTACTATAAGACAATACTCTGCATGACTTTCAATTTCTTTTCTTCACTTTTACAATTAAGAAAAGGGTAATGTTAATTGACCAAGAATTATCATTGAACATTTAACATATGCTTCTCATAAGTATTTTGGGTTATTAATTTCATTTATATCTAACCATTTTCCATACATTTCAACAATTCTTATTATTTCTTTTTCAATCTTACCATAACCATCTGCTAATATTGATAATACCCATATCATTTTCCCTTCACAGTCAATACATTATAAGTCATTTGCTGATTTTAATGAGTTTAATGTTGCTGTCATTATTTTTACTTTTTTGTCTTCATCAAAAAATGAAAGTACATCATAATTCATATTATGTTGATCCAATCCAAGGTTTTCAATTGTTTGAATAAAATCGTTCCATTTTGCCTCATAGAATCGGGTATTTATCTAATAACTACTTAAAAGTTCATTCTTTGAAATTGTTTATTTATTTTATACAGAAGAAAAAGAGAAATTATAAAAACTGTTAATGAAAACACTAAAAAAAAACAATTTAATAGAAAAAGATGAATTTTAATGAAAATACAGAAGAAAAAATCCCTCAAACAGTGATACTAACAGAAGAAGTTAATTTAGGATTTGGTGTATGTAAATGCATTGACTTTCTTAAAACACATGGAGGTGTAGATGATGGAATAAAAGAAGATGATGAAATTGATCTTGATAGAGTGGATGATTTAGGACGAACCATCAAACCATTAGAACAGTACAGAATGATGTGTCACAGATTTCATGGAAAAAATCCAAGCAAAAATAAAATCAAAAGAACAAATAAGTTAAGGGCACAAGACATTCTAAAATTAAGAATGTCATTCCAAGATACTCCATTAGGAATGATTAATACTGCTAAGAAACTTATGGTAGAACAACACAAACCATTTCTTGATGTTAAATTAGAAAAAAAATAATTTCAAATGAATTAATTGAATAGTTTTTGTAATTACTTCATTTTTAATCTTTCAATGCATTCATACGTGATAATAAATCATCAACATCATCACTCCCACAAACTGGGTTTGAATTAGGAATTGGTGCAAAAGTTCCAATTGATTGAAATTGTTGTGATTGTTCCTGGGTTTGATTAAAAGAAGGAAATTTATTGGTATTTTGTTGAATTGGTTGATCAAATGATGGGAATGTATTTTGTTGTGAAACCGTTGGAGTATTGAAGGTTGGGAATTGATTCTGCTGTGGTTGAGTAGGTTCAAATGAAGGGAATTTATTGTCATTACACATACTTGAAAATTGATTCTGTTGTGGTTGAGTAGGTTCAAATGAAGGTAATTTATTATCATTTCCCATAGATGGAAATTGATTTTGTTGAATTTCTTGTTGTTCAAAAGTAGGAAATCTATTATTGTCTTGATTCATAGAAGCAAACCGAGAATAATTATTATTTATATTTTGTTGTTGAGATTGAATAAATTGGTGTTGTTGACAAGAAACAGGGTCAGTTGTTGGAACACCAAAACCTTTTTGGTTTTCAGGTTGAACTTCTTTAGGTTTCAAAGCATCAAGAAGGTTATTAACAATTTTTTCAGAGATGTTGTTCATATTTCGATATTTCTTATATAAACGCTGATCAATAGTATCTTCTGTTGTCTCTGCAATTAACGTAGTTCCAAATTGACCAACAAACATTTTTTTTATATCAGTAAGTTCTTTAATATCTTCAAGTCGTTCAGAAAAAAACACAATACTTCGAATTTCAACATCAAGAGATCGTGGTACTAATCCACATCTTGGTAATGTTGCTGCATGCTGAACTAAAGTATTTATCATTTTAACTAATACCTCATAAATATCAACTAAATACTGATTATAAATCATATCCTTTGCTTCTTTTTTTGCATCAATATTTCGATGTTCTTCAAGCATTATTACAATCACTTTTTTTGATTTGATTAGACATTGTTTTTTTCCAGTAACAAGTGCATTGATCTTACTTGTTGCATTAGCACAAGCAGTGGCGAATCGTTCTTCAGTTAATCTTCTACTCATTTCTTCAATCTTAATTTTAAGTTCGTAATGAAAAAACAGTTTTAACTTTTAAACATTTGCTTAAACTATAATTTAATAAACGTATGTTTTAAATTCTCATATTCGATTGTTTAATATAACAAAAAAAAAATAGAATATTTGAATAACAAAATACAATTTCATTTCTTTTTATCAAGTTTAAATGCTTCACTTCTTATTTTCTGGAAATCAATACATAAAGAAGCAAAGGAAGGTCTATTTGTTGGTTGTTGGTGCCAACATTTGAAAACTAATTTATTAAATTGTGAATAAGGGGTTTTGACATTAGGAAGAGGACGAATTCCATTACAAATTTGATAAAATAATGGTGGAGATTGTTTATTTTTTTCATAAGGATATAACCTATGTGCTATTTCCCATAGAATGATACCAAATGAATATACGTCAGCTTCAGATTTAAACTCTTGGTCTTGAAGTACTTCAGGAGCAATATAAGCGATTTTACTAATATCCTCTTCTCGTTTATCTTTAGTGAATTCGATTTTATTACCAATATAATTTGGTGTTGTTTTACCAAAATCAGCAATTACAGCATATCGTTCTTTAGTGATTGGATTAATTTTTATCATTATGGCACTTGTTCTCAGGTTCCGATGAACCATTTTGATAGAATGTAATTTTTTCATTCCTGTACAAATTTGAATGATAAAATCTAAGTTTGTTTTCCAATCAACAGTACTATTTGAATGAAGATATAGACTGAGATTTTGTTCACAATAATCAACTAATAATGCTAATGGTGTTAAAACAATTCCTTTTAATGCTAAAAAATTAGGATGGTTAACGGTTTTTGCAACATTTGCTTCTCTCATCATTGTAGAAAACACATTACCTAAATATCTAGTACTTCCTCCTTTTTCATTTTTTCCTTCATATGAAAAAGTTTTCATACATACTTGTTCATTATTATACGATGCTTCATACAATATATAATCAGTATCATCTAATAAATGTCGTTTAATTTTTACTTTACTTCCTTCTATCATTAAATTAGAAAAATCTGATTTTAATACTTCTAATTGAATACCAATTGATATATTATTCACTGAAACAATATGTTGTCTGTAACTCCCTCTTGATATGCTTGGTTGACAATTAATAGTATCATTACTGTTTCTTATTGCAATTCTTAAATTTTCAACAAGCATCTCTCCTACATCTGGAATACCTTCTTCTATACAAACTGGACATAAAACACATTCATTTGTTGCTAATTCTTTTGAATAAAATGATAATATTTCTTTAATCTTTTTATTTAACTCTCCAATAAAACTAATACAATACAATGACCGTGTAACACTATTAGCAATAGTTCTGATTTTAATAATTAACCGAGAGTATTCTAATTTAATCATAAGATAATAAATTTGGTCATGGTCTTCAAATTCAACAAATACATATTGTTGGAACATATTAATAATTTTTGAATTACTAACTAAAATTAATACCAAAATATGGTCATATATAATTGGAGGAACATAATTATTTCTAAATGACCATGCATACTCATTATATCCTTTTTCTAATTGTTTAGGCCAAATACGTTCTATGACTTTTGAATTTGCTATAGATAATGTACTGTGTAAACTGAAAGGAACAAAAGGAATACAATCTTTTGGTTCAGGAATAGAATCACCTCTTAATTCAATCCATTGTTGATTTTGTTCAGATATTTTATTATTAATTCTTTGTGTATTTGTGATGCTTTCTTTAGTCATTAAAACTAATTTATGTTGAGATTCCATTGGTTTGTTTAATAATTCTTTTAAAGTTTCTATTCCTCCTTCTTGTTTAAATCCTTCATAATTATTAGTTAAATGAAACTTTTTAAACCATTCGTCAAAGTAAACACATAACATATTATGAAGTTCCATTTTGAATAATATAAAAGAGAATAATGTAATATTCATATTTCCACACCATTGTAATTTAGGATATATATCACTCATCATTCCAATTCCTTTTGTTGAATTTTTATACATTATATCATATATCCTCTCAAATAAATTAGTTTTTAGAATAAATACTTCTTCCATAGAGTCAAAACAAGGTAAAACTTTAAGTAAGTCTGGTGCATTATTTTTAATAATATTTAATACTGAAACACTTGATATAATTGTTCCACTTTGATCTAACTCATCAATAAATCGCGTATGTTTTTCTTTGTTGATTCCAAAAGTTTCAATAATTTTTTCTAATTGAGCTCTATTAACAATTGGTGGATTAATTTCACAATTTAATAATTCTTGGTCAATTTCAAGAAGTTCATATTCTTCATTTTCCCATCTATGTTTAAATTTTTTTATCCATTCAATAAACTTTTCTGCCATTATTCTACTATTCTCTTTTCCTTTTGCAAGATGAAGAAAGTCACATTGTTTAAAAGTATCTTTGACTGTTGATTCAATAAAATCTTTTTCTGATGATTTAATATCAGCAAGTAATAAAACAAATACAGACATTTGTTGTGGTAATACCAAATTAAGATAATACTTCCAATAATAAATAGTTTCAATTTCTTTTGATGTAAATACTATTAAATAACAATCATTCCGTGAAAAATTAAATGATATTGGTGACGAGTCATCATGATATATAAAAGTAAAATAATCTTTTTTATTAAGAGAAGAATTTCCACAAATTTCATCAGTTGAATGAAGAAATATAATACTATTTGTACTATTATTTGTCATAGAAATCCATTCATCAGTTACCATTTTCATAGTTTCAATTCCAAATGATGATGATAATACATGAATCTTACTAATAACAGGAGGCATAAAACAATTAATAACTCCATTTAATAATGGATGAACAACAGGTAATGATTTAATTGAATTATTATTTATATCAAAATGAGTTAATGACGTTAATTGAGTTTGTTTTATAGAAATATATTTCAATAAATTGGTACTTAAATTGAGGTCTTTCAATTGAGTCATTTCATAAAGCCAATAAGGTAATTCTTTAATTTCATTATCAGCTACATCTAATTTAGTTAAATAAGTTAGAAAACTAATTTGAGTAGGTAATGTTTTTTGTTCACATGATTCTAATATGAAATTCTTAAGACTTGTAAGTTGAGGGAGTATAGAAATATTAATACAACTATTTCTTGAAATATCAAGTGTTTCTAATTCTTTAATTTTAGTCAATGAATGTGGTAATTTATTAATACAATTAGTTAATAATAATGTTTTTAAATTTATAGGAAATGTAAATTTATCTAATGCATTTGGTTCAAAGAAAACTTGAGATGATAAATCAAGATATTTTAAGTTAGTTAAACTACTTAATAAAGGAGTAAAGAATATAGATTTGGTTCCACTATTATTTGAAATATCTAAATATGTTAATTGAGTCAATGAATCAAAGAAATGTTTAGGAATACAATTTAACTTACAATTTGATAATATTAATTTTTGTAATGTGGTATATACTTGAAGACATTCTGGAATAATCATTAATGGGTTATTACTAAGATTAATTACTTCAGCCTTAGATACATCTTTAATATAACTTGGTATTTCTGTTAAAGTTCCTCGTTCATGAAGGTCAAAGTTAACAGCAGCAGAGGTATTAAATAAGTCAGTTTGTTTATACGTGTAATTCATCCATCTAAAGAAGAAATATGGACAATGTACTAATGGTAATTCTTTGTTACAATATTTGTGATAAAAGTCACACTCTTCATTAACGAATGAATTATTTACAAAAAATTCTTTATTTGAATATAAATATACAAAAACCCCTTGAGTCGAACTTCCTTCAAATGCAGAAAATCGTCCAGAATTACAGTGCTGATAAAGGAAATGAATGAGTGTTGAATTGAATCCAAATTGATAAGGATAATAATAAATGAATGAATGAACCATTTTTAAGAATACAAGAAAATGAACTGGGTATAGATTATATTGACAAATAGTTTTAAAATATCCGTACTGTACAAATTCTTTAAAAATTAATTCTAAGAATCCTTCAAATGATCTGTAATATTTATCTGTTAATAATTCAATCAATGAAGTATAAATTCCTATTTCTGATGCATTTTTTGTATTTGGAAGAAGAATAATAGATTCTCCATGAGTTAATTTGTTAATAATATTCATAGTAACAGATAAAATAATTTCTTGATATTCAAGTAAATAATTAATATATCCATTGAGTTCTCCTATAGTTTTTTCATTAACGTCATTCATTAATTTAACAACTTTATTATGAAAAGAATCTTGAAGAGTATCACATGTTTTTAATAGTGAAGGATTTGTATTATAAGTTGAATTAACAAAAACAATTTCAGTTGTACATATCGTAGTAAATATTTGTTTAAGTTCATCTGGATATTTTAATTGTGAAGTAGTATGATCTTTACAAAAAATATATTGTAATTTAAAAAGATAAGACCCTGACTTATCTCTATGTATTAATATAGGTGAACGTTTAAATTCATCCATTTCTAAATGTGTTTCATCAATTAATTGATAATGTCTAAAAGTAATTCCTTCAAAACTACATCTATTTCTATCTTTTAAATTATTTTGAACACAAAATAATGAATTTGGTGATTTAATATCTACTCCAAATCTTGTTGCAGTTTTCTCCCAAATATTTTCAAAAATATTTTTGAAATAAAACTGTTCATAATCATCTATTTTCATTGTTTGATTTCTTACTTTATTTGCTATATAAATTAATCGTTCTTTAAATGAGATTACTCGTTGTTCATTTTCCATTGAAAAGAGTAATATTCTATTATCTCTTGAAATAATTTTAATGCAATGAGGACATTGAGATGAATTACTACCATTTCCTGATACAGCACTAGCTTCAAAAATCATTTTCAATGGAACTTGGTTAAAATAATAACATTGTGCCATTGAACCTAATGATTCATTTGATGTTCTCCATATTAATCGATAATTTGTTAAATAAAGTTTTCCTCCAACCCAAGTATTTAAACATTCTTTATTTAATTGTTCTTGATTAAGTATCATATATAATGGAATTTTACTAGGTTGTTCAATATATAAAATTACTTCTCCACCATAAAGACTATCTGATTCAAAAACTCTTTCCAATTTACTTTGAGTTTTTTTCTAAAGAATAAATGGTCTTGTTTAATAAATATTTTTAATAAAAGAGTATAAATAACAAACTGGTATTAACTTATCTATTAAATCAACAAGAAAATAAAATTTAGGAATTTTACTAGAATCACCTTCATAGAAAAAAGAAAACATGGTATGAAGAAATAATTCTTTACAATAATAATAACAACTCTTATCATCAGAAATCATTCTATGAATAAATTTTAATGTACGAAGAAGAATAACTCCATTTTGTTCAAGACTTCCTATAAATTTTCTAACTTCATTCATTAATTGAATTTCATCATTTTTAAGTTGATTATATGCTTCAAATAATTCATGTGCTTTCTTTTCATTTATTAAAATAGGTCGTTTTTTTGCAAAAAATGTTCTAATTGCCATAAAAGCAATTAAATGTGCTTCATCTTTAGGCATTTCATTAAATTGTTTTATTTCATTTACTTCATAACCCTTCATTAATTCAAACATTTTTCTCAAAGCTTTATCTGAATTAACTTTCATAAGTAAAATATGTTTACCAATTTTTGATTTGTTTTCATAATTAATAATATCATTTTGGATAGTAATAGCTTTTTTCTCATTAATCCCTAATTTAATAAGTTTCTCTAATGAAATTCTCTTAATGTCTTTTCCTAATTGTTTTTCTTTTACATATTTTGTCAATTTCTCTTCTCCAAATTTATTAATAAATTCATTTAATTCTATTTCAGTCATTTGAGAATATGGTTTTACTGCTTTTGTTTCCCGTGTTACCTTCTCAATAAATCGAAATGAATTTTCTAATACTAATGGAACCCCATCAAATGTATGTGTCTTTAACCTGAATTGAGGTTTATGAGATTCACTCTTTCTGAGAAATAGTAATGGTTCATGTGACCGTGTTGATTCTATGTCAGTTGTTGTCAATGTCCTTTCAGACAATTGGGGTGGAACACTTCTTGACTCAGGCTTTTGTCCTTTAAATAATTCAAACATTCCATTTTTCTTAGTTTTATGGCGATCTTTAGGCCTGAATGTGGTACTTCCCATGCTCATTGAAAAATTAATTTTTAGTGGTATTTTTTCTTATTTTCTTTGAAAAACAATTCTTATAATAAAACCATCACTTGGCTTTCTTTTTAGAATTTACAATTTCAATTTCATTATTTTTTCTTATGACTCTGTTAAATTCTCTCAATGTTTAATACAACATTCTAACAGAACTTAAAGGCGTTATTATTTGGATTAAAAAAACAGACTATTAAATGAAAGACTATCAAATTTGAAAAGAAATTAAATTCTGTTTAAAAAAATTAAGTTTTAAATGAAATTGGAATTATAATATTTTAAACTAAATACACTTTCAAAAATCAAGAAATAGTTTTGGAATTTAAAGAGAATTATAAAGAGGGGTTGGAAGTCAATAGTATGTATTTATTATATCAAATTAGAATTAAATTTATACTCTTTGATCAAATCTTAATTTATTTTAAACATTATTAAATTCTCTTTACACCAGTACTTAAAAGATGAATTTAATTAAGTCTTAATGAACTAAAACTAATGAAATTAAAAAACGTCGTTGATGGGATTTTTAATTACAAAAAGGGAAAAAAGGAAGGGTAAAATACCTACCAAAAAGAAAATAATAAAAATATAAGTTTTTAACTATTTATAATAGTAAATCAAATATCAGAAAAAGGAATAAGAGAAGAAAAGAAAGGAAAAGGGTTGAAAGTAACTGTATGAAAGTTAATCAATGAGTTTCAACTCTGAGATAGAACCTTACCAATTTGGTATTGAACAAGAAATATATTATAGAAATAAAGAAGATAAAAAATTGAAAAAGAAAAAAGAAATTAATGAGGATGTTGAAGAAATGGCACAAGCACTTTTTATATATTGGAAATCAAAAGAGTTAATGAGGAGTAAAGATATTCAATATGAAGAAGCTAATGAAAAAGCAGAATTATTATGGAAAGATAAAATTGATGATGGAACATTAGAATTATTTAGAAAAGCAGCAGCTGTTCAAATAGTAATGTTAGGAGGTGAGTTTATTGCTCAAAAGAAAAAAAAGATTCAAAAATGTTCATTTGAAAGAAATCGTGCTGAGTGTAATCCTTTTTTATTATTTTGTAAAGATCATAAAGAAAATGTTAGAGAAAAAGGTAGTAGAGGAAAAGGAATGACTACATTATCTAATATGTGGAAAGAACTTCCTGATTCTGAAAAAGAAAAGTATTTGGAAATTGCTAAGCAAAATAAGTCTAAAGAAAGAAGATGTCTTAATAAAGATATTCAAGAACAAGATAATTTAGCTGTTCCTTCAATTCAATCTATTCCTTCAGTTCATGAATATCAACAACTCACTTCTCTTGATTCATTGAATCCTGTTACACAAATAAATAGTATGTCACCATTAACTTCATTAAATCCAATAAATGGTACAATAAATATTCCTTTTGTTCCACCATCAATGAATAGTCCATTTGTTCATGACATGTAAATCTATTTCTCATTTATTTAATAATAGACTTCTTATGGTTAACTAGGTTTTGTTTAACTATTCTTCTATCATTTTCTTTTATCTTTCTTTATATTAAAATTATGAATAATAAAGATTGAATATGAGAAACATTAAACAAACATTAATACAAATTCAAATATTGAATCATCAGCTATTGTCCAGTTATAATGTTGTTTTTGTATAGAAAATCTATTAGTTAATATTACAAAGAATATAATGAGGTGTTATGATGGAATATTATTTTTTGTAATATAAGAAATGATATTTATTAAGATGAAATTAGGAATATATAATGAATATTATCCAAAGAAAATAAAATATTTGGTATGGCTAATACTAAAAGAAAATTAGTTATAACAATATAATGATAATGAAATGTTCATTCGTCATAAAATAAGAAAATAACGTAAGATAAAATTCTATAAAATTACAATAAAAATCAAACAAGAATAAAAAGAGGTATAAACAAAGACAATGATAATTACTAAAAAATCAAAAGAATACGTAGTATATTTGAATTAAATAAGAATAATATTAAAGAAAAACTATTAATACCAAGTTGATTAAATGAATATTATTTACTACTTAAACAAAATATGATTTTGTAAACAAAAATTATGATAATTGCCAGTTTTTTTTGTTATATTAACATATTTTTTTGTTCAAACAACTAAGCTAAATCTCATTAATAATGAAGATATCATCTTGTTTATTCATGTTGAAATGTTAGCATTTAAAATAGAAGTATAGAGTGATGACGTAATATACAATTGAGTAAAATTTTTGTTATTATCTATTTTTAAAAACAAATTAAACTATTTAATATAATAATATTATTAGAGATAGATTTATTTTTAGTATTGAAACCAAAAATAAACAAATTCATTTAAAAAAAATTATGTTATAAAAAACAATAAAAAATATTTATGCAAAAAAAATGAACTTAAATAATTTTGTCAAAAAAGTGGGAGATGGATGAATTATATCAAATAGCATTAAAAAAAAGTAAAGGAAAAATCCTTAATGATGAAGAACAATTGATGGTTAAAGAAATGGTTAAAGAAACACTTAAACCAATTAATATTACAACCCAATTTGACCATTTTATATTTACAAATGAAAAATTAAAAAAAAGTTATTTGCAAAATTTACCAGCACCACACTGTTGTCGTTTTCTTACGGATAGTTATTATATTTGTTCATGTACTGAAAAGATATTATTTATTTGTGAATCATGTAATGAACGTATGGGTATGGACAATCACTATAACCATACTAAAGGAAAAGGAAATATTAATATGATTTGTCAGTGTGGGATAGAACATAAATTAAAAGTATCTGAAACACCAACATTATTAACTGGATCATCTCCAGTTCTTATTCTTCCAACGCATGATGAGTCTATTACTAACAAATCAACGAAAATAGAAAAAGATTCTACGATTTTACTTGTAGGAGAAGATTCAGTAGAAATCAATAAAAGTCAAATTATTTCAACAGAAAATAAGAAAAAGAAAAAAGGAAGTGGGTTTAATACATTAGAACAAAGAATTGAAAAAGATGAACAAAAATTAAAAACATTACATAGAAGTCAACAAAAGAAAGAAGGAATTCAAATACTTTTTAGTAAAGAAAATGCTAAAGAAAAGTTAGAATCATTTAAAGCTTTTAAAGAAAAAATAGGTGAAGAAGAAAAGAGAAATAAAAATGAATTTAAAGAAAGAAAACAAAAACTTAAAGATTTACTTCCATCAAAATATTCAAAAGAAATAAAAGAATTACCAACACAATCAAATAAAGGATATTGTTGTATGCATGGAATTGATAATAATTTTGGTATTAAAATAACAGAAGAAATGGAATACAAAATTAATAATTTTATAATAGAAATAATGGATTGTCTTATTGAAAATAATATGAATGAATGTTACCCTTTATTAGAATATATTAATTCTTTAATGGAAATTCCTATTATTAATGAGTCAATTACTATATTTGTAACAACAACTCCAATTATGTTTAAAAATGGTTTACTTCAACGGTTTTTTTCATATTTTTCAAGTGGAACTAATGTTATTTCATTCTTTTGTGATAAATATTGTGAAATGATAATAAAAAATGAAGAAGAAACTGAACATTTACTTTATCAGTTTTTAATTGAATTAGGACCAGTAATTTTAAATTCATTTACAAATTCAATTATAATATCATTACTTCCACCAGGAATAAAATATGAATTACTTACTAAAATAAGAAAAGGAGTAATAGGATATGAAGATTCATTAAATTCATTTCAAATAAATACAATTGTTGTAAAAGGTGTATTAGAAATATTTAAATTAAGAAGAAACCAAATAACAGTTTTACTAAATTCAAAAGAATCAATAACCCAATATTATAGTATTATTTTTAATTCTATTACAAATGTTTATAAAGCATTAGAAGAATGTTTTGAATATTCAAATATGTATTTTTTATGTGAAGTTATTATGAATAATAGTGAAATATTTGGAACATTTGTAGAGTTATTATATTCTTGTAGTTATTCAATTAATTTTAATACAATGAATCCATTTTCATATATAATTCAATTAAGACTAAAATTATTTGAAGTTCTACGTTATATATTTAAGTCATTAACATGTTATTTAAATCTTTTTAGAATATATATAAAACATTATAGAATAATAAAAACGTATGTTGATCTTGTTTTAAAGAAACATCTTCAAACAGATACACTTGAATTTGATGGAGGAATTATTTTATTTCGATTATACTCATTAATAATTAGAATGTTATTCATTCAAAAATCATCAAAATCAATAACATATAAATTACTAAGTGGATATTTTAAATTACAACATTATTCTTTAGGAGATTTTACTCAAAGAAGATTAATTAATCTTAATAATAATGATATTAATGATTTTGAAGAACAAACACCTATGCATATCGATATTAGATGGCTATTCACTGATTCTTATTTTCAAAAAACTACATTATTAGATTCAGAAAAGAAAAAATTATCAAAAACTTCTTTAATTTTTGCACAAGGAATTCTTCATTCTTATTTATCTATGTTAAAATCTATAAAAAATTGGGATCAATTCTTCTTAAAACAAAAAAAACAAAAAATATTTCTTCCAATACAATATCTTTTAATTTATTCATTTGACCCTTTATTTGGTAAGTCTCTTGACACATTCTTTCTTCAATTAGTATATTCACAATATAACTTTATTCAAGATATGGATTTAATTCAAAAACAAAATATTCATCAATTATTTGGTTTGGATTATGAAATGATGTTAATATTTAATATGATTAATGAAAATAATTATGAACCTTTAAATGATCCTACAATTAAATATCTTACTTGTATTGTAATGATTTATATTGATATTTCTTATGTTAGATATAATATTGTTAATGAACAAGATGTTTCAATATTACAACAACTTAATCCTTCATTAAATAACTATTGTTGGTTTCAAAATGGAAGTGTTGTGTTTAATATGAATGCTTC